TAAATATTGTCCGTTATTTTGATGCGTCAGACTCAGAAGATTTAAAGTTAGAACTGCGGAAATTTATGAAATAATGAATAAAATACCACATAAAAATACATAGTAAAAATACCACGAAAGTCAGCACAATATTTGAAGACTTATGATGACAATTCAATAACATTTTTTTTATGTAATAGTTCGGCAAACGAGCACACGGATTACCTGATGGTAAGCAATCAGCGCCGCCCATGGACACCCGCAACGGAGGAGTTACGAGTGCGTTGCCGATCTTTTAGGGATAAGGGATTTGGAGACTGAGGGATTGAGGAGGGATTGGGGGAGGGGAAGGATTGGGCCTCCGGTAACCTCACTCACACGGCGAAACACAACGCTGTGGTTGTTTCACGCCGGTTTTCTGTGAGGCCGTGGTATCACTCCGGTCGAGCCGACCCATTCGTGCCGAAGCATGGCTCTCCCACACTTATAAGACATATAAAGAAAGACATTTCCTTACTTGTTTCCTGACATTATTATTTAATAAAAAGTCCTTTATTTGTTGCAAAAAACACCAAGTTTAAGAAAACACTATAAAACCCATAGACAGAGAATAGAATAGACAAGCTATTAAAACAATAATAACGGTTAGAGCGAGAAAGTGCAAATGGAATATATGTAGGTGTGAGCAAGACAAAACAATTATGATTCTTGTCCCTTTTTAGCGTAATTATGCTTTATTTTATTTAAATCGAACCAATACGGTAAATTAATACGGTAAATTGCAGTGAAATTGGCTGTAAAAGCCGTAGTGAGCCGTTTAATGTACATACCTACCTATAATGTATATATAAGACATTTTTTATCTCACGTCGTATACGCTATTAGCTTCTCTATACCTATACTATCTCTATGATAAAACCAAACGATTCAGTTTGAAATCAAGACACTTTTGAAAGTTTTGAAATATCAAAAATGACATTTGGTTTAACTTCATTCATTATTGATCAGTGTTGTCAGTTAAAGAAAAATACCCACAAATAAACACGTTTTTTCTAGGGAGGAAGTTGTTCATTGCACTGGCAACAAATTAACCAATGGTTGTGTTTGACTATAGTTAAAGTGGACATCAAAAAATGAAATTACGTAATAACAATTGGTTACCCTCTTGACTATAGTTAAGATAACAAATAGTCAAATCGTATTTAACTACGGATCAAAAAACTGGCCCTTAGTCACACACCGCATCATATGCGAATTTTCTAAAATCAAAACATCAATATAATTGCTACTCTGTTATTTATTGTAAAATCGTTAAGGATGGAAAGAGACGACAATAGATCAGTGATTTCGTTTCGACGCTTTTATTTGCCACCCCTGTTGAAGGGTCGACAATCCCTTCCCGCGCTTGCGTGAATCAATAATATACCCCATATTATGGTACTACTTGTAAACATCCAATGGGGTTTGAAATAATTAATTCCGTATACATTGATGCTTTTGTATGACGAGTATTGAAGGCCTTGTATATTCCGCCGGCAATGGAATCGTGTTACGCAGAAACGTTTTTTATTTTTATTGGTTTGTAAATGTCTTGGTATGGTTTCGCGCCTGCGCTCTGCATCCGATGGACCAAATTTTAGCAAGTGTAATAAGAGAACGGTGTAAAGTGCATCTGTTTTGTGTGAAATATCAATAAATAATATTAAAAAGTGAGTTTGTATTGTATTGTTGTGATTTGTGTTTAATACAGATCAAGTTTCGTTCATATTTAAAGGAATTTTGTTGAGTTTTTCGTGTTCTTATTGTGTGAGCGAAATTATCATTTATTGAGCCGAGTTCTTGTACCTACCGTTCTAGTGCTTAGTTTTCCGTTTGTAGTAAAACAAAAGTTGTAAGAAATTTTTATTGCGATATTGTAAACGAAGATATTTACTGATACATATTAGTAGTTTTCCTGTAAAATGTCTTTTTAATTTATTCAGCTTCATTTAATTGATTTTCAAACTATGTTAATATAATACACAACTAAAATAAATACTTACACCTGAATATTTTGTTGTGAACTTTAGGTATGTGAAAAAATCAAATGAATTAGAGTTTTTCACTAAGTACCTAATCCTAAAGGCCATCCGTGAGGCCAAGTATCAATAAAGTAATTCAAAACAATATTATGATCTTTCATACATTTTGAAAGTTTAGATAGGTCGGCAAACAAACCTGATGTTAAGCAATAGGCGCCATCGTGGACAACTGAAACCAAATTGCGTGCGTTGCCTGTTAATACCCGCGTAAATACCTAGGTATATGTTGTTGGGAATTTATGCAAAGGCAATTTGGGGATTGAGGACGGGGGGGGATTGGAACTTCTGTAACCTCACTCACACGGCGAAACACAACAAAAGTGGAGTTTTACGGCGATATTCTGTAAGGCCGTTGTATGTTGGTATCTTTCCGCTCGAGTTGACCCATTCGTGCTCTTTCACATTTAACACCAGTAATTCTTAGGTATTTTTAATAAATAGGGGCAAGTTTAGAAGTCAACAATTGAGAAGGTACACAGTATCAGAAACGCTAGGTAGGTACGTTTGTCAACCTTAGGGAAGGATGAAGAGCGAAATGTAGGTACCTCATATCTTTCTCTCTTCACTGTCCCAACGTAATAAAGGACTCACGATACGTACGGACCAATCAAAACACTCGCTTGTGACCTATGAGGAGGGCGAAAACTAAACTTGCAGTCAAATTTCCAGTCATCAACAATAATATAGTAACCTTCTTTTTCTTGCAGAATGTCCTGTGGGGCGGAATGTCTGTCCCTCGGCCCCCCGCCGGACTCCATCCTGCACATGCCCCCGCCACCACTACCAGCCTTTCTGGCCAGTGCAGCTAACCTCACGCCACCATGCAGGGCCTCCAAATGCCCCCCTCACAGGAACAACGAGGAAAACTCCCTCTTCCCTGGAGTGGAATACCATGAGCTACCCAGACATGGTGAGATACGTATGTTGTTTTCTTTTAATTATGTTCATCTTAGGTTTAGTCCTCATAAAACGAACACGAGTTTTACTTTGTTATATTTTCGACACATGAACAAGTATCAAATTGATTCATTATTTTAACTGATAGTTTTCCTGCTGTCGTAACGTCACAAGAAATAAGCAAGGTGAGAAATTGTATCCAAGAAGTGAGGCTCAATAAGGCATTCATTAATAACTGGCTCATTCTGTAATTAAATAAAAATCCAATGACTCCAGCGTCGCTATAGCAACTTCTAAATTCTTCCAGAACCCGCGACTAACGACGACACCTGGTTCCTCGTGCTGATCACCTGCTGCATCGCTGTGCTTTGCATAGCCGCTCTCCTAGCGTTATTCCTGCTCAAATGTAGAGAGTAAGTGTCCGATAGACCTGCTTGACTCCAACTTTTTCAACATTTCGCTTCAAATATTGAAGTACTTTAAAACCTCACTAACTCTTTCTGATCGTTCTTTTCATTTTGCTTACAGTTGGAAAAAATCTCATGGGTTTTTTCTCGACAGGGCACGAGGAGGATGCAAGAGCGGTACTGGTAAGGCATCCGGTTCCAATGCATTATACGGAGGAGCAGCCATTGACTCGCGCGTGCTATGGGCAGCGCTGACACCGCGAGGCACGCGACACTTCGTCGCCGACACCTACCCACACGACGAGACCGAAGACCATCACTACGAGTGTGTAGAGCCCCCACTATACAAACTCGGCCCACCAGAAGACCTCGCCATCCCACGACATTTCAATGTAGAATACGAAGACCCAGCTCCATTAATTGAGAGCTACAGTGATAGAACCGAAGAATACTTCCGAAATGGCATGGACACTCTTCGCCGTGGCAATCGGCCTCTCGTCTCCTCTCCGACAAGGATCGAACGACCCAACCTGCCTCCTCTCAACCTGCAACCACGCACCCTAAGGAGGGCCCCACACTCCCGCCGAGTGAGCGATGCAAATAATCCAGAAAAATCGGCCATCTGAACCGAGAGTGGCGCGGTATTTTCCGTCGCCGATACTACCGATATCGATTACGATTGGCAGTCGATCGAAAACTCGAATGTTGATCGTCTCGTTTGAGGACCACTTTTTGCTGACACAGTATGTTCAAGTGTTTGGCACCTGGACTGAAGTTTTAAAATCTGCTCTGGACTTTTAACTTAGAACGCTTATCTGCATACTAGCTCATAGTGGAAATTCACAAACATAGTAAGAAATAGATTAATTATACCTGCTTGTACTTCTTTCAGTAAAATTTAATAAACGTAAAACTTACGTGAAGTAGTAGCATTCACAGTAAACAGCTTGATAGTATTAGATAAAAAATGCTTTATGTGTTTAGCAATTCGGATTTGATTGGAAGAAGTACAGGTATAAAAATACTGTAAGTAGTAGGTAGGTCTAAAGGTTTTAGAACCAAGCTTACGAAGTGCATCAGTGTCCATAATCTTAAAAGTCAGTGTATGCTAACGTAATTGTTACTCGGTAGTAACTTAGCTCACTTTGTGTAAATAATATAGTTCTATAAATAACTAATTTTATTTTATTCTATGTGCTATTGTATATGCTACGAAGCTAGTCTATGTAATATTACGGTCACAATTTCTAGTCATTTTTAACATGTGAACACGGTACTGTGTGTCTGTAATCGATAAAACTGCATGTATAATCTATAATGTCTGTTAGAAAAATAATTTTATTAATATTACTTTTATCACGAATTTTTGTACTTGTCAATAAAATAATATTATTTCTAAAGACTTTTACTTAATTTTTACTTTATTGCACATTACAAAAGAGATATCTGGTATTAAGATAATAACGGTAAAACAATTAAATGTATACTTTTGTTTTGCCTCATTGATTCGATCGCACGAAGAGTTGAGTATTTATACTTTGTGAGGTCGACTATACTGCCAAATTGATTTGTTGTTTCCGAACGAAATTAAGGAGAGTGACATAGATATGACATTGTAATTTTTTACAATTTGACAATGACAAGTAGTTGCGGATGACATGACGCTCTTCTCGTGTGTTGTTTATTGGTGAAGAGTTTCTCAAAATATGACAAAAATATTGCTTTTATGATAACTTATCAGTGGCTATTATTTAGTATTAACAATATTTTCATATAAACAATTTAAGAAATATCCAAAATGTCCGAGGAAGTGATAAAACACTCTGTCCACACATTGGTGTTCAGATCTTTGAAACGATCTCATGATATGTTTCTATCCAACCAAGGACTGTTGCCGCCAATTGATGAAAAAGCGTAAGTACATAATTAAAATCACAGCCAACACCATTTTTCCTTCTTAATACTGTTTTGACGAGAAACATCATAATATTTTTCAATATCAGAATGTTTGGTTATGTTATTAGTATCTGTAGGACTTATAGTTAACAAAGTACAGGCAGCAAAGTTATTTATTATGCAGACAATACGAGTAGTAAATTATATGGTTTTTAATGAAGGCATATTTTTATAACTGTTGATTGGCTAAGCAGCCAAATATTTTCTAATCTACATTTTTTATAGAATGAGAGGCAATCGAGTATACATGTCACCTGATGGTATGTCATCAGCACTGCCATACTACCTAACTTGTGCAGATTGTACAATAATAACATTATTATTGCTCTGCCTAAACTGTGAAGTACCTATGAAACATATTGTGCCCTAATAGTGGCAATGTGAGTGCCACTTGCCTAATTACTAACCTTATTTAACAAAAATCTTGTTGCAGAGAAAAGATTCTCAAAGGAGTGAAAGCTCGTGACAGTTATGGACAGGTGATGGACACAGTACAGCTTGCTCAAGCTGTCAAACAGCAGGATATGAGGATGCAGACTGATATCACTACTGATAATGGTAAGTGAGATATGATAATGAGTCTCTTTTCTTGTTTCATCTACAATACTGCCAATTTTTGTACAAAATAAATGGGAAAAGTGGATAATGTTCCAAAACAAAATTACTAAATGAAACCAATGCAGTTGCAAAGTCTAATTTTCCTAACTTCAAATGATAAAAATAATGTGACTTGTCAGTGCCTAACTCCATATGACTAGATGACAGGCATCTAAGTTGTCATCCATTTTCATACCTAACGCAAAAGAAAGTGATGGTGCCATGCCATATGCAACTAAAACATTTAATTAGGCAAACTGTGTAATTTATTGTTTATCCGTTAGTCTAACTAACATAACAAAAATGGATTCCAGTAGGAATTAATCAGCTTGATATGAAATTACTAAACTTGTGCAAAGAAAATGGTCAGCAGGTAGCACAATTGGTGTCAAAGCTGACAAAGTCGATAAGCACAAAATTTTATGGGTTCAATTCCCATACAGAACAAATCTATACACGGTGTCTTGAAACTGAATCTGAAACTAAATCTATATTAACATGTTATTTAGTCTCAATATAAAAAATATATATAAAAATCTTAGTATTTTTCTAAGTTTTTAACAGATATACATATACCTTCTTATACTAACATGCTACAATATTGATTTTCTTTACACCCAAGGCCTTGCTAAGGACGATGAGGATGATGCTAAGTCAATGCATGGTATATAATTGTTTAATAGTAGTCAATTTAATAGCATGCTAACCTATATTGTTATGTCCCAGACGCGAATAAATACTTTTTCTTTCTTTCTTTCTATGTATATTGCTTCAATTTTTAACTATAAAGAGATTAATAAGTTTTTTTTTTATTTGCTTGTTCTTACATAAATTATTTATCATATTAATATGTTAAGGTGATAAAACTGATGCTTATTACATGTGAGGCTGTGGAAGGTATTTCAAATAAACAATAATTGCTTGCACCCTCTTTTTTTATTTTGATATTGAAGCACCTCGCAGCAGCTACATGAAAATATAGTAAAAAATTTTGGAAACTTACTTTTTTTACTATATTTTCATGATTTTATACTTACAATGATTTTATTATCACGCTAATGAAAATGTAGATAACATCCTACAACCAAAAATCTCTTTTATAACACAAAATCTGACTTTTCCCAGGAGAATTAGCAGAGACAGCAGCACTTGGATCAGAAGGAGCCCTAGTTCCCTTCACTGGTCCCACACCCACGGCAGCCGCACCTTCAGGAGCTCTCGCCGTGCCTAGAAAACCTCCAGCGATGCCCAAACCCAAGTGGCATGCACCATGGAAACTATTCCGAGTTATCTCTGGACATTTGGGTTGGGTGCGCTGTGTGGCTGTTGAACCTGGCAATGAATGGTTTGCTACAGGTAAGAAGTTTATAGAGTATCTTGCTCGCTCTTCTCCATTCGAATCTACAATTTGAAACGAGCACCTAACTTCACTAACAAACAGACTGACAGACTACTATTCTATTTTGACGTTTCAAAAGTATTTATTTATAGTTTAGTTGGAATAAATGATTTTGACTGACTTTGAGTTAATGACATTTATGCATGTCCAATACCATATCATCATCATTATCATTTACTATATTGATATAGTCCCCTTCAGTGAAGAGGTTTTTTTGTGCTGCTATAGAGGATAAATGAGCTGATGGATGATGGTAAGCAATCGTCGGAACTGCTCATGGACAATCTCGGTCGTAAACGGTCCGTTGTGACTCTTTAAAGGTTTGACGATTGAGGATGGCAGGAGGAGGCCTCTGGTAATCTGACTCACAAAGCTGTGGTTGTATGTTGTATACATACGCAATAAAAATGTTTGTCAAAATTAAGTTTTACTTTTCGAATCAAAATTGTTTTTATTATGTACTCTTTTCTTTATAAATATTTCGTCACTCTGCTGTAGTCAGCTCATTTACCTCTTTAAAAAATCCAAACTTAAAGGGTAATAAGTATTTGATTCTGTCTAATACTGGTTTTGGTTATTTTTCTTCTGTTTAGGCGCTGCAGACAGAGTTATAAAGATCTGGGACTTGGCGAGCGGCAAGTTAAAAGTATCGCTCACTGGACACGTCAGCACCGTACGAGGTTTGTTCACTAACTGACCAAATATTCAAGTTGCTATACATTCAAACTACCGACAATTATCGAGAAAATAAATGAATTAAGTACCCTTTTTGGGACTTAAATAATAACTTAACTATAGGTTACTAGCTTCCGCCCGTCGTTTTTCCCGCGAAGTATGTTGATAAAAGCCTATGTATTATTCCAAGGTATCACCTACCTACATACCAAATTTCAACCAAATCGATCCATCCTTTTGGCGTGAAAGATAACAAACATAAATTCATACATTCTCACAATCTTTTTTATATTTATAATATTAGTAAGAAAGGGAAGAAGAATTGGTTGGTCTTAACTTGTGTTTTTTTGAACTTTGTATTTTCACACTTGTATTTTCTCCTGTGTCGCGGGTGAGTTAAAAATATACCAATCACCCAGACCTGGACCTGGAACGCACGGACCAAGTCTTTGTGTAATCCACAATCACACAAAGGGTTGGTCCATGCGGGAATCTAACCTGCGACACGTTGCGCGGCAGCCAGTTGCCCAGCCACCGCGCCAACCCATCACTCAATTGGGCATGAGCTGTACCTACATGTTAATTTGTGATTTTTGTCTTCTTTTTAGGTTTAGAAGTATCTTCAAGACACCCATACTTGTTCAGTTGTGGTGAAGATAGACAAGTCAAATGCTGGGATTTGGAATACAATAAGGTAAGAATACCGTGGTTTTATTTTTTATACTAGTTTGTACTGTTCAAGATACAAAATATTTAGGAAGATAAAAATTTATACTTCTTTTTAATTAACTTACAAAGATCTTGACATTGTTTTAATCCTTAAACCTAAGGCTCTAACCCAAAACCTCAAACATAGACTAGATATTTTCTTAAGGTCCAATACCCAGAAATATTTGGACCACACATAGACAACACAAGGCAGCCAGTTAGCCAGCCACCGGGTCAACTGTGCAAGCAACAACTTCAAATAAAAGAAAACGTTAACCAAATAAAAATACAGGGTGAAATTGAATAGATGCGACAAATAGTACTTTTATTTTGTTTTTTAAATTTGTATTGTTTTTCTTGTATTTAATCCTAATTAGTTTTTTTAAGTACCTAGATAAAAGTATTTATATAAAATTAACAATACAACTTAATGGCGTAAGCTGTAATGTTGTATATGTAAATATTCTTAATAAATAAATAAATAATTTTCAACATATCGACAACGTTTAATAACATGCAACACTGCGTTATGTCGGACGAGATTTCTTGATATTTTAATTTTTCTTATTTATTTTGCATATTAATTATTTTTCTGGAATACTCATAATTCGTACTTAAATAAAGATAACAACGTCAATGGACCATTTTAAAACGATAATAACGTCATTTCATTTATGGTCTTACATTGTAGAAACAACAGTTTATAATTACTATGTTACTGTAACTGAAGCTCCCATTTCATTTTGTCGCATTTATTCGATTTCAGCCTGTATATGCTTCTATTCTATTCCACTCAGCTTAATTCTATATTTCCAGGTCATTCGTCATTACCACGGACATCTATCAGCTGTATACACGATATCCCTTCACCCAACTATCGATGTACTAGTTACTGCGGGACGGGACGCCACAGCCCGGGTCTGGGATATGAGGACTAAGGCTAATGTACACACCCTCACTGGACATACTGACACCATTGCATCGCTGGCGTGCCAAGCTGCAGAGCCTCAGGTCAGTTTTAGATCAACCCGTTTTTTTTTTATATTTTTAAGGTATCTTAGTCATGGTGGGAGAACCATGCTTCGCCACGAATGCGTCGACTCGACCGGAGTGATACCACGACCTCACAGATAACCGGCGTGAAACAACCACAGCGTTGTGTTTCGCCGTGTGAGTGAGGTTACCGGAGGCCCAATCCTTCCCCTCTCCTAATCCCTCCTCAATCCCTAATCCCTAAAAGGTCGGTACCGCCTCGTAACTCCGCCGTTGCGGGAGTCCATGGGCGGCGCTGATTGCTTACCATCAGGTAATCCGTCTGCTCGTTTGCCGATCTATTACATAAAAAAGCGTGGTGGTTTGAAACTTGGCAAGGCCCGAGTGAATAGGTTGCTTATAGGTAGGCGTGCTCCATCGTAGGTCGCATCATCGCATACCACCAGACGTGATAGTGACCAAATTATTAAGAAATAATAAAATAATTTGACTTTTCTGAAACATACATGAAACTGTACTTTGTGAAATTAGTAAGACGTCACTGTTATGGTGAAGGAAAATAAGTCTTCCTTCTTACTCTCGACTCAGTTGTGCTGGTCTGAGTTTAAGGGGCTTTTAAATGGTCATAATTTTCCAATATAAATGTTTATGTGACAAAAATCTCTTTTCAAATATTTAACAAAATCTATATGAACGAAACTACAAAAGCGTATTTCTTATAAACGAGCAGCTTTGCGAACAGACCAAAAGACTAAATTTTGCAGCTTTTTTTATGATGTTGCCCCACACTAGGATTTCCTCCTGTGTCGTGAGTGCGTTTACAAGCACAATACATATTCACACGCACAAACCACCCAGACTCGGAACAGCAGAACATTTTCTTTTCTTTCTTTCTTCTTGTTCCGTGCGGAAATCGAACCCGCGACGCGTTGCACAGCACAGCCAGTTGCCCAGCCACTTCGCCAACCGTGCATTAAAAAGCTATCAGTTTCACAACCCATAATAAACTTCAATCTTATTCACAGATTATAACCGGCTCCCACGACTCAACGATTCGTCTCTGGGATTTAGCAGCTGGAAAATCGATGTGCACACTAACAAATCATAAGAAGTCAGTGCGTTCCATAGTCATACACCCAACGCTGTACACATTTGCATCCGCTTCCCCGGACAATATCAAACAATGGAAGTGTCCGGAGGGCAAGTTCATACAGAATTTGTCTGGTCATAATGCCATTGTGAACTGTATGGCTGTCAACCCTGAAGGTGTATTAGTCAGTGGGGGGGACAACGGAACTATGTACTTCTGGGATTGGAGGACTGGATACAATTTCCAGAGGTTGCAGGTGAGATATATGTTTCGTACTATTATTTTAGACCAACATCAGGCCAATTCTGTGTATGGTCTACCAGTTTAGGTTTTCGTTATATTTATATTAAAGAGGATGTTCCTATCAAATGCATATAAAGATTTAAAATGAGTTTATTAGCTAACATTTTGATTTACGTAAAAGGACATGCCAAGATTGTTTACATTTAGTTAATTACCTAAGCCGATAGACCATAGTATACTCTATCATAATTGTTATTTAAATTATTACCATGTAGAGAAAATAAAGTACCACTTATCGTTAGTGAGAGACGCGCTGAGGCGGATCATTCGCTCCAGATGTTACCCCGATGCGGACCACGATCCTGAGACATGAGTTACCGACTATAAAAATAAGCGAAAATAAAAGTCCCAATTATACTTAAATAACCGAATCGTACCTACTTTACAATACGTTGATTTCTTTATCACTCTAAGCATCTAGAATCCACAAAAACTCCTAAATCCACACGTGTATTCTATCCCCAGGCCGCCGTACAACCAGGCTCAATGGATTCAGAAGCCGGTATCTTCGCGATGACCTTCGACAACTCGGGTTCCCGTCTCATCACCACGGAGGCTGACAAGACTATCAAGATATACCGAGAGGACGACACAGCCTCCGAGGAGACGCATCCCATCAACTGGAGACCAGAGATATTGAAGAGGAGAAAGTTCTAGATAGATTTTATAATACTAGTAATTAATAAAAGGATTTTTGGCGCAGCGTTCTTTTGTTTTCACTTATCGTTTTTAAAGATTGCCTTGTTGTATTTTTTTATCTGATAAGTCTGCAATCGAGCTTGCGGATTATCTGATGGTAAGCAATCAGCGCCGCCCATGGACACCCGCAACAACAGAGGAGTTACGAGTGCGTTGCCGACCTATATGGGATAAGGGTTGCGGATATTTAAGGATTGGGAAGGGAGGAATTGAGCCTCCGGTAACCTAACTTATACGGCGAAACACAAAGGTCGTGGTATCACTCTGGTCGAGACGACCCATTCGTGCCGAAGCTTGGCTGTCCCACACTTGGAATGCATAAAAAGTGTTTGTAGATGCAATAATTTTCCTTCCTTCCTTGTTTTTAACGCGCTATCTTACCCACTGGTTCGTAATGAACAACTGTTTTTGTGTTGGATAGTACATTTATCGCGGATTGCTATTAGGGATATTTAAAACATCTATCTAGTGTTAGACGACGAAAATCAACTAAATGAACGTCACTAATATAATCTGTGGTCTCGGCAACACTGGCTGCCGTGGTGACGCTGTCGTCTGTCAACTGAGACAGATGAATAAAGTTTTCCCGCGCAAAGAGTGCAACGGGGATTCTGGTGGAAAATTTGACGAGCATAGAAATAAGTTTCTTATAAGAATTAGTTTTTAATTAAACTTAAATATTTGAGAGTGTGGTGTTTTACTTAAAACTAGGATCAGGCGGGTGCAACCGCACGTTAATAGCTATAGCTAGTCATTTAATATTTCGATAAGAAATCCTACTTCATGTTTTGATTTTTAAATACTGTATTTGAATATTACAAACTAGTAGGTGATTTCAATTCAAAAATAAAACATTCACATAGTATTTTAGTTACATTTTATTTGTTAAAAAAATATGATACAACATAATTGAATGTTACAACCTAAAACGTTACAAAGCAAGGATATGTAATATGTATCGCAGGCATCGCCACATGATTGTGTATAACTAAACCAAGTCTCATTCTCAATGGAATGTCGACAAACTGAACTCTTGTTACAAAATAATTGCGCTTTTTAAGAACACCATCTCAATACGACAACCACAGCTTTCAGAACCACCATTTAAAATAATAACAAATCTGTCAAGTTTTCAATTTAAACAAGTTTTAACTCTGCCCTTTTGTAATAAGATTGAAAACACATTAATATAATTACAACTTGACAATAAAATTCTGTTCTACACATTATCGAGACTTCCAAGCTGTTTGTAATATCAACACAAGGTATAAAATGGATTTGGCTTGAAGTAATTAACTAGTGGTTGTAATAGCATAGTATAAAGAGAAGGGCAGTAGGCTATCTCCGGCCCAATTGCGGGTGAATTGTTAAGACACCCAAACACAGAGCAATACGTTCTCCTGCGCTTATCAGACATTTTGTTTTGATTTAGCGGTGCTGAAAAACAGTGACGCGCGAACTTCGTGCATTGTTAGCCCCGACTGGCGCACTGAGAAACGGGTCGAGATTTTGTTACAGTGTGCGTGCGTCGACGCGTAGATAGATACTATGGCGCACACATACAAGCCGCGCGCGGTGCGTTTGTATGAAGATAAACTACTTCCCTTCTCTTTATACTATGGTTGTAGTGCATATTTGAAGAGAACATATCTGTATAATCTGCTGTGTAATGATATCCTTATCGAATTGGTCTTTTATACATCAACAGAACAACAAATATTCCTAGAATTCTCTTAGGTGCCATTCTCCGGACCGGTAGATTAACCAAACGGCTCCTAGAAAACTTATTTCAAATCACTTCTATAAACACTAGTTATTACTAAACATATTGGGTCATAATTACATTCATTACAGAGAAATCCATTCAAAAGTATTCAAAAAGATATAAAACAAACGAGGCACTCAATTGAGATCGTTGTGATATTTATAAAAGGTTTAGTCAAACTTTATGGCTGGTCTTATAACGAAAAAGTTACCCCTGGCTAGTGTATATGTACTTTCTCAGGTCATTAAGACATCGACATATGGTTAAACATACCTGGAGTTTTCTTGACCAAGTTTGGTGAATCATCATCATATCATCAGCCTATAAGTGATTTCAAACTTATAATTAGAAATTATAAGTCCAGGTTTCCTCACGATGTTCACCTTCACCATATATAAGTGGTGTCTAAATAATCATAGAAAGTACATATAACTCGGAAAAAGTCACATTGGTACTTGCATGCATGGCAAGCGGGCTCCTTAAGCTCCGGACCACCACGACCTCTAGTTTGGTGAATAATCAAATCTTATCCGTGTTACGGAATTCGGTGATTTCATAGAATAACCATAAAATTTGACTACAACTACCTACACTTTAAATGCATGTACATTTTTATACCATCTTCACAAATTTCACATAAAATTCTTCAGTACATTAATTTTATTAGCGCTTGGAAATATAAAAAAATCTCTCTCACGCAAAACAAATATAGGTACTATAGACAGTAAATAAAGCGTAATAATTATTATTATTAGATTTTTATAAATCATAATTTTAAAGCTTGTTAGCCCGCCAGCAAGCTTTGTAGTGCTCATACAAAAAATAGCTGAGATGTCATACAATATTATTATTGTTATATTAAGTTAGGTTTTATTTAAATGCAAGGTGTAACAGAATAATTAATGTTTAAACTATTTTAGTTTTTCATGTGATAGATAAACAAGCAAACGGATCAACGGATCATCAAGGTAAGCAAGTAAAAACGCCACCCACAACTCTAAAAGAATTACAATTTATAAGTGGATTAGTGATATTCCACATTGAAAATTTGCATATCAGATTCCATACTATTTACCAATATAAAAAACATATTTTATCATTATTCAGGAAGTGCAGTGCAGTTCAGCCTTTGAGTAGGCAAAGAATCCTAAAACAACTTTCATTAATAAAAGTTGACTCTCAAATCTTGTTTAGTTTGAAAATCAAAAGTTGTTCAGCATTGTGAGGTTACAGTACCTGACTTCCTTGGTCTTGCGTTTATTCTGTTACACCTTACAAAAATGCCAGTCTTTGAGCTGTTACACAAATTACAATATTGTATGTATCCTAATGGTTGCGGTTTACTTTGTGATGTGATCATATCTCGTCATCCAGGTCAAACTCCTCTTCTGGGAAGTCACCGACGGTCACGTAGACAGGTTTCACAAAGCCACCGTACTTCGGGGGGCATGTGAAATAACGCTTGCCATTTACTCTGTGGAAAGAAGCACATACTATTAATATCTCTATCAATAATTTCAGCTACTCTCTGTAAGATAAGTTTTGTAAATGAACGAAGTTAAAGAATACATCGGTCACAGACGGGGCCCTATAGGGCTGATATTCAGCCGGTTTTCGGTGTAAATCGTAACACCTGCTTACGAAGCAGTTTTAATGTATTGTTTTAACATGAACGCGACATCAGTGTACTTGTCGATCGCGAACAGAACGGGTGCATTCATCAAATAATATTAACATTTCTAACATTTTTAACATTAAACATTAAGATTAAGTTAGTGCTCTGAACTCTTTATAAACAATAAACTTTTACGGTCACGAATGCGTTTGATATCTACCTACGACCTTACACCCCGTACAGCCGGGGTTGAGGGGTAAGCGCAATGAGGCACCGCGGCCTCGGCCCAGAGCAGGAGAAGGAAGGGGCGGGTTTTTAGTCAGTAAGAGTCTGACACTTCCTCGCTCCCGACCCTGGCCGGAGAAGTCATTTGATGATCTTCCAAAATTTTTTAAAGAGAAGTTGCAAACGCTTCTCAGTTTAAGGACAGAGTGATTTAGGAATTGGGGATAGGGTACTACCGGTAACAGCACTCACACAGAAAAACACAACGCTGAGGTTTTTTATAAGCCGGTATTCTATGAGGCCGTGGACTGTGAACGAACCGGCCCACTCGTCTTGAAGCATGGGTCTACCACACTGAAGAGTGTCATTAAGAAGTTGACAATCAAATTAGTAAGTCAATAGTTTTGAAATCTGATCCAACAGACAAACTGTGTATACAGTTTTGTTGGACATTTTATACTTTTTATAATGTAAAATGTACCTTTTAAGCAATAAATAAATAAAAAATACCTAAATAAAAAAAAATAGTACAAATTTCTTAGACAAGAAAATGTTATTAGTATTTGAATCTTTAAGCAATCAAATACAAAAATTGGGTGAACCTCAGCTTGATTTATCCCATCAAAATTTGTAGGTAACAATAATCACTTGAAAGTAATTTTTTACCTAATTCCTAACCAAAAGCTAATTTTATATTTATGACTAGCAGTTTAAGATACTTACGATCCATCATTCTTGCCACGGGGCTCATCATACTGCACCCCGATCCACAGACCTTTCGCCCCTTCCAGGGGGCCGTTGTACCTGACGGTGGCGCGACGTACCGGTTGCTGGGGCACGCGGACTTCGCATCGAGCGCCCACTAGTACTGCTTCTGCTATCCTAGAATGAAAAAGTTAATTCACGTCAGTGAGTCGTTTATCTATACTAATATACGGCAATTATAAAGCTGGCAGTGGTTGGATGAGAAGAGCTGAACATCGAGCTCAGTGGCGTGAAATTGGGGAGGCCTATTTCCAGCAGTGGACGACAATAGGCTGATGATGATGATGATGATGATAAAGCTGGAGAGTTTGTTCGTTTGAACGCGCTAATATCCAGAATTACTGGTTCGAACTGAATAATTATTTTTATGTTTGTTAGTACATTTATCGAGGAAGGTTTTAACCTAGGTTATAAAACATCACGCTACGATTTATAGAAGCAGGAGCAGCGAGTGAAACCGCGCGTCGGAAGCTAGTCTATATTATTTATAGGATTTTGTAACATTGAAGAAGCAAATAAGGTGGACAGCAAGCTGATTGGAAGCAATATTTAGTATTATGTACTTATGAAGGTGGGGACTAGGTGATATGGCAGACATGCTTTGAAAGCTTAGATAAATAATTATCAGACCGCATCACAATGGAAAAGATTTTTTTTTTTTTACTTGCAATAAACCAGTGCTTGACTGCGATCCCACCTGATGTTAAGCAGTGATGCAATCGTTGATGGTAAGGCGCACTAGTTTATTAAGAGCCTATTCACTCTAGTCTTGAAGACACCTAAATTGTATTCGGACAGAAAGACTGCAGCCGTTTTAAAATAATTGCCCGTCAATTATTTTTAAGGTCACTAATACATAACTGAGAATCAATTGACCGTAAAGTTCTGATAGGTAGGGCAAATTAATGAATCTATACTAATATTATAAAGAGGTAAAATTTGTAAGTTTGTATGTAGGGGGTAATCTTTGGAACCGCTGGTCGGATTTCCAAAATTCTTTCACTAATAGATAGCTATAATGGTCCTGAGTGCTATAGGCTATAGGATAGGATAAAACATCACGCTACGAACAAATGGAGCTAAGCAGCGGGTGAAACCGCGCGATAGTAGCTAGTCTGTTATAAACAGTTGTAATGACATCTATCTGTCACTGACAGTAGCTTCTGTCATCTTGGGATTACAAATGGAATTATCATACCAGCACAGACGCTCACTGAACGAGAACAATCAGTAAGAGTGTGTTAAAAAATATATTGGAAAGTATATCCAAATATAGTAGGCAAAAGCTGTGTTCGGAGGGCTCCAGCTGAGGATTTGATTGGATTAGAAGAGCTGAATTTCATTGAGCTCAGTAGTGTGCAATTGCATGTACCACCTCATTCCAATAGCGAACTTTCAACAGCATTTTAATAATGAATATAATTCTTACTTAGCCTCATCCTCCAGTTCCTTCTGCTGCTGTTCCTTGAGTTTAACCATCTCCTCTTCATTATACTTGCCCAGTTTGTTCTTCTGCAGGAAAGAGCGAAGAGTGTCACCTTTCTTCTGATACTCTTCTTCGGATAAACGGAACCTAAAATTTTATTAATAAAGAAAATAGATTTTGTTTTGTTATTGAAATTAATTCTGACTATACTTACTACCTAAGTAAGTAATAAGTAGAAAGTAGTCGAAAAGTAGAAAAAGTGATAACAATTTTAACAGCACAGTTACCACCATTTCAGTATTGTGCTTGTTTTTTTATGACTTGACACTTTCACAGCGGATCACGAGCTCAGCTCGGCAACAAACATATTTTTCTCTGTGTAGTTAGAACGAGAGCGCTACAGTTCGCACACGCCCGCGCCCGCTCAGTCGGTCATTGATGAGGCGAATGGATGGACGTATGTGCCAAGAGAACGTCCATTAGAAGACCCTGTTTTCAGACAGAGACTCTCTGTTTTCGGACAGAGGTGACAGTGAAAGCTAAAAATATGTATCCTATTATAGCCTGCATAGGGAATGTATGAAATGGTGGAAAAAAATGTTTTTCCACTTAGTAGCAAGGAGCATGGTGAACGCCATGGTAATTTACAATCAACAGCAGCCTGCATACCGCCGATTGCGATTATAATTGATGGCATGTGGTAAAGGCCCTGTGGAAGATCGATCTTTTAATGCTGCATGGCCATCTCATGGAGCACACTTGGTTGGCAAAACTTCTAGATTAGTGGGAAGGCACTTCCTTGAAAGAATACCATGTACAGAAAAGAAGACAAATGTCATGTGGGTCTGTAAAGTTTGTGCCGACACTATCAAGCACCAAACTGGGAAATGAGGATGTAAGGAAACTGGTTTTTACTGGTGCAAGCGATGCCTTAAATGTTCTGCTGTGAAAGTGTTAAACAGTAGGTGCAAGCCTCAATAACAGATTTTAAATTTTCCCTTTATCCCAAAAGGCAGCAGTATGTCAGTAAAGTTTACATATGTATGTATATATCATAGTACTCTTGTATTTTTTCAAATAACATTGAATACAAATGTTACCTTTCAGCACTTTCAGAGGATCCAAAGTCATGAAGAAGAGCAAACTTGTCCACCACATGTATCCGCATGCCATCATCAATGGGAAATGATCCAAGCAGAGCTTCATCATTGTCTATGTCGCATATGTAGCCATTTTTCTTGTCATATAGCTTCAGTTTCATAGTAGCAGCGGATCCGCCGGTGACAAGTTCTAATTTTGTCTAAAATCAATATTGATTTCATATTAAAGTGAATGAAACTCATGTTTTAAGTGTCATTAACGATAAGCGATACGGGTAATGCTTTCGATTAAGCCTTGTCTTTTCAGTTCATATTTTTTTAGATAACTTTTAACGCGAAGTCTATAACTAGTTTCAATAGGTATTTTACGATCAAAATCAGCCAGAAATACTACCGAATGCCTTTTTAAACAATGCAGATTTACATTCCAATCAGAGAATCGCAGATACTATAATATACATTTTTTATAATAAGAAAATAAAAAAATCTGTGGATCGTAACCTTAAACTCCAGAATGGTAATTCCTTTTTTGAATCTCCGCTCGATGGGTGCAGCATCTTCGCTGTCGGACTTCGTGATGAGCACGTTCACATAATCTTGGGTAATTACTTGTATATCTGCCATAATTTTGGATAAAATCTAAACCGATTTACAAAGGAATTTCTGATTCACAAATTAAATTCACACAAACAACAAACTGTCAAGTGTCAACTGTCAATAGGAATTTATTAAAGTAGGTACTTTCAGTTGTCAAAGATTACAATTTTAAACATTTTATTTTGTTATCTCTTTCATATCAACATCGTTTACATTATATTATATAGTATGAGTATCAGCCACAAGGCAATTAGAGCTCCAGTGGTAAATATAGAGCTCCCGCAGTGACTTCTAGGTCGGCCAGTTGGTAGCTGCATCAATATTTTATAAAGCAGAATAGAAATAGACTGTCATTGTTAATTATATGCTTCAACTTCAAACATTTTTTATTGGTATGAAATGTTCCGGTGCATGACGCATCGTCTCGTATAGTTCCTCCATGGAATATTATTGTCTCAAACTTTTCTTTTTAAGTATGTACACTTTTGATTTTAATAATAAAATAGTAGTTTTTCAAGTTTCTGACTAACAAAAAGCCTTCCCTATGCCTGGTTTCATTTACAAACAGTGTTTGTACAAACCCAAAATATAACCCAATATATCAAAACAGACGCGGAACAACATTATGTAGATCACGCAAATAATTGTTTCGCTAGGAACCGAACCACCAATCGGTCGTCAAGCCACCGCACCACACCTGCAGTCAAGTAAAAACAGGAATTTGAACCCGTGGCTCTACTAATATTAAATATACTTATCTTTTCTAACTTTAATAAAACTTAGAAATTGCAACTGGATGGTTTTCTAAAATATATGTATAGGGTTTACAACGTAGGTAGTTAGTTAATGTATTGACAAAGCAAGAAAGCAGCACGTTTAACGCTTTTTTTGTCAGGGGAAAATCCCCACGTTCCTTCTCCTGCTCTGGGCCGAGGCCGCGGTGACTCATTGCGCTTAACCTCCGACCTCGGCCAGGGCCGCGTCTGTAATGGTCTATTGGCTCTTTGAGGCACGCGCGGAACGCTACGCGCCGTCCGCTCGGGTCTGGCTCTGGTCGTTCGGCGAGCAACCCTTACTCGCCGTCCGCAGACCCGCGCTTACGGTGGCCGGAGATCATCTCTCAATGCCCCGACGCCTGGAATGTCGCCTACTGCGGCGGCTGGGGCGTGAGGAATTCTCCTGCGAAGAGCGGAGCCAGTGCCGGCGCAAGGGCCACTGACACCCCAAGCGAAAATATTGTGGCGCCCACTTGAGGGAAGCAATATCAAATGTTAAATTTTTGATCTGATCCCAAAAAAATCCCTTATAAACATATACCTACATTGCACAGAGCTTAGAGCACAGTTCTGAGGGGGTAGAGACAAGAGACTCCAACTTCAGACTTTGGCGCCCCCCAGAACTTATCGCCCTCAGCCATCGCCTTGCCACGCTTCCCCCCCCCCTAGCGCCGGTACAGTTTTCTCCTTTGTGAGCATCACTGCTTCGCAGAAAGACAAGACGGCTTCCCAGTTCCTCTCGCGCTGAACCATGGCCTCGACAAAGACCGGGCGGAGACATCGCCGCCCCAGAGGACGCGGCCGCCCAAGCAGGGCACACAGCCACTGTGTGCTCCACCTTATCCTCAGGGTGGTCATCACAATGCCCGAGCATGTTTAACGCTGCGCCTTATTCCACTCCCCTTTCGAATCTGGTACCTACTACTTACACTAAAGTCTGATTTCAATCTCACCTGGGATCGTTAAAGGGGTCAGCCTAGAACAGGCTCCAGCTCAATGCTCTTGAGTATTACGAGGTCCGCCATCCCCTAGGGCTTATTTAGGAAGAAGGAAGTAAGCCAACATCCACTTTCGCAGGCCTACTGAGAGAGATTAAAATTATGATCCGCGACATGACTTTTTCGCAGAATGACACCACTGCTGCCCACAACTTATACTTTGGACCGTTTGGACAACAGAACGACAATAGACGAGAGTGACTAGTCCTATGACCTTTGACTCCTTTACTCCACCAGCAAGTGTAAATATAAATATCTATTAGTGATTTACTGAATATCAGACATCCTGGCCTTGCGACCAGGAGCCAGGATTTAACTACAACAGTATTAGGGATATTTTTCATGGAAGGTATGTAAGTATAATATGAAGTCTTTCAAAATTTATAACAATACCCTTCCTTCAATCAGGTATCGCTTAAATTCATTATTGCAATGACTGGTTTCATCTGGCCCTGTGAGTGATGCAGAAAGCAGGCTGACATGAAATACCTACAGGCCAGAATATCCCGATGGTGTTAAGGCCAGTAGCAGGGCGTTAAAGTTGACCATGATCGTCATCGTGCGGCCACGGCCTTAGAAGTTTTCCTAAAACTACAATATTGTTAGTTGGTACCTAGTCAATTGTCCGTATGAAGGCGAGATACATGGTCATGAATCGTTTGTAAAGCATAGAAAGTGTGCTCTAAACGCGTATCAACTTAGGTGCTGAAAACCAAAAGTGGGGGCTGAAGTATCATCATTTGCCTGTGTGTGAATTGCAAAAAACCCAGAACATAGATGTCTCTCCTATAACGAGAGTAATAACTAATTCTAAAGTAAATTTCATTACGTACCTATGCAATTGAAATTATTTTATTTGTAATTTAAAAAATATTAACATAAAGTAGTATCCACCGTTTTGAATGAATACTCGAGTAAAAATTGATATTTCTAGAAAAAAACCCAATACTAATAAAATCTGGTAAAAGAGTCTTGGCGCCAAGAGGATTCTTGATGAGACGCGCTAACCAAGCCCAAGCAAGCACTTTAATAGCGCGAGGATTTGATAGCTTTTTGTATTTAATTTTTAATTCGCTTGTCGCATTATCATTTTGAGAGACCGCACCACTGCCATCATAATGTTCTAAAATAGTTCTAATATTTATTCACTAGAGATACCTATCTATTCAATTCTCGAATTCTATTCACCCCGTTTTACCGTTAAGTACTTAAATACTCATTTTTTTAAGCGAACGTGTTTTGTATTCGACATAACGCTTTTCTTCTGTGTCGTGGGTGCGTTTACAAACATACAAATTCACTTACACAAGCCACCCAGACCTACATCTTTTTTTTTTCTAGTATCAACATTGTCAATTATGAATTTATTATATAACAATCACTCCCTGTCCACAATTCCAGACATCTAGCTTTTGCCCGCGCCATCGTAAGCCTGCATTTAAAAAGAACCTATAATTTTCATTAAATTTATAATTTCTGCATTCAATCCTATGCTCTAGTTTGCTTTCATGTTTTTGCGTGCAGCTGGTACAAAAATACAGATAAATGACAATTCTTAAAAATCGGCCAAGAGCTTAAGGGGATACGCTCAGTGTAGGGTTCCGTAGTTTCCCCGTCTGTCACAATAAGTATCCTCACTGTACAATATTTCAAAAACTGTTCTATCTATCGAATTAAAAATAATTTTCATAGACAGTATTTATGAAGTTATATTAATAGTTCTCGAAGGTAGAAATATTTATTTCTACTTTCGAGATTTTCTCTGCATTTTCTAAACGTATGGTGACTTTTGAACGCATTTTTGTAACTTTTGGAGCAATTATTTCCCAAAATATTAACATTGTCAAAAACGAATGTTAGTAATGATAATGAAAATGGGTTTGAAATGAAAAAGACATTCCCGTCCTGACGTGTAAGAGCATTAGCATTAGCATAATTAAATATTTTTTCCACTTTGTAGGCGTGACTGATGTACATTATAGTACCGTGAGCTTTCTAGTGCTAACGGCCACTTAGATTTTTGCGGACAGACAGAGAAAGACAAACGAGGCGAAACTATAAGGGTCTACTGCGAAACTCTTAAAATGGTTGTTTGTATTGTTGCCCAAATAAAGAATCCCAAAGTTTTTCTTAAATAGGTACCTTGTAAGTATGTACAGTTGACTGAGATAGAAAGAAGTCCTTTTATACCCATTATTTTCAATAAACCCCCAAGTCTACCTAAGAGTCGAATTTAATCTCTCAATGTAAAATCTTTAGGGCTGATGTTCAGCCGGGGTTGCGGGGTAAGCGCAATGAGACACCGCGACCTCGGCCCAGAGCAGGAGAAGGAACAGGGGGGTTTTTATTCAGTAAGAGTCTGACACTCCCTCCCGCCCAGGGCCGGGCGGGAGGGAGTGTTAGACTCTTGTTGAGAAGTCACTTGATGATTTTCCCCTCCCAAAAAAGTAAATAAATAAAATCTTTGGAGCAACCTAGATTTCTTCATATTTTCCAAAACCGATTTTATGTTATGTTAGACCTAATTCAAAATGAATTAATAATATTATCAAATGCTTTCTCTCGCCCAGGGTGAGGCGAGAGGGAGTGTCAGACTCTTACTGACTAAAAACCTCCGTTTCCTCCTCCTACTTTAGGCTGAGGCCAAAAATTTAGGTGCGAGTATTTCATGTTGAAAAACTATGCCCTCATTCCTTAAGACCCTGTATTTAGGAAATCAATCATTGCTAAGGGTATGATAATTTACTTTTAAGGAAGGGTCAATAAAATAAGAAAGAAGACTAGTATATTAATTTGGGTTGGTTTTCTTTGTAATCATTGCAGGCACGTCGAGTAGGTAGTCCAGTCGGCTGAATTTGTTAAGCTGAAGGCTCGTTTAAGCTGTAGCTGAAACGTGAACAAAAACAACGCACAAACTAGTCAATGTGTGCAAAAGGGACCCCGCACGTCGACAGAGGGACCCACGGAGACATGCTGCACTAGAATACTAAAGTGTTCCGGTATCTAATCAAACATAGCTCCAATGAATTTTCAAAATTTTTATTCAAGCAAATTTGACAAACATTGAAGCATGCATTGAAAATATAATGTTTATCTACACAGCTAAAACATTACCTAACATTGAAGAGTTTAAAATGAATGGAGTAGGTAAATCTCAATGATATTATAAGACCCACATTATAATTTTATAAAAATATGTTACATATAAACATCGATACTATGAAGCGTCACATAGCACAGTTATTGCGCTGAATCTTCAAAAGTAAATATACTTATTGCCAGCCTACAATAAAACCTAAATCCATAAACAATTTAACTACAGATATAGTGCCTATATAAATTTATAAAACATTTATGTTTATATCTATAAAATAGATTTAAATAGTCGTTACTTTAAAATCCTTTCCCTACCGCCACCAAATTACCTAAGACAAAGAGTTTTCAAAACTTTACTTTTAGAAGGTGCAAAATAGTACTAACAAGTTTGGTGGAAATGCTGAGTAATATTAATAGCAATGTATCTTGCTAAGAAAAAAAAAGTAAGTATACACATACAATTCGAGTAATCGAAGTTAGTAACGTAAAAATAAAAAAGAACTTAACAAAGTCGACGTAACACAATATCTAAACACAGGAGTCCACTAGTGAGACAGTAGTGTAGGTTCCGTCCTTGTGGTGCCGCTACGCTTCCAGTATATCCGTGGCTGATTCGGGTGACGCGGCCGCCGCACAGGTATTTTGCACACATTGCTAGCGATATAATATGTCGAGATGGTAATCATTTGTTTTGGATAAATTATAACGATTTAACTACTTCATTACTTTACACTAGGGAAATGTACTATAATTGTTGATCCCATTTCGACATTATGCAATAATAAAATAATGACGCCCGCCGAGTACAATTGTGCATGTCTCTCAACTGTTAGCAAAGTTATTACTGTTGCAACATGTGATGTCGATGATTTAATTAATGATAACAATTATGTTTGAAGTAAAAAGGTCGAGTGAGAGTATTGTAAAGGACAAGTCGCGGACATGTTGCAACGTCGCTGTAGTGTGTGCAATAGCGTGCAATTGTTCTAGACGCGCGTACAATGTGTATCATTAGCAACCGTACCTGGCCCGGGTCACTCGACTTGAGCGCCCAGGCGCGTTCCTCTTCTACGCCTCGCGTGCCGTCGATCAAAACAAAACACCACTTTTGGTAACCAATAAGGCACTCGTATATTTCAACTTTTTTGTTTCGAGTATAAAAAAAATATCTTTGGCGTTATAACGGTTTCGGCGGTCGGCAGAGCGATAGCTACGCTGCGGCAGGTAGCGGCGGTCGCTCGGGGCCCGCTGCGTCACCCGAATCATTTCCACTGGAAATATCCCACATTCAGCTTCCATCGGCGCCGCTGTCAAGCGGCTCCCTCCTTACTCTCGGCACTCTGTGGCTCCGACACGTCGGCCTCCTGCGAACTCTCACTCTGCTCCAACTCTGGACTAAACATATCCACAGGTTTCGAGGCCTCAATGCCCGACTCTTCAAAATCTTTTTCAACGACAGGAGGAGGCGGCGATGGTTCTCGCTCTCGCTCATACTCTGTATTGGCGGGAGCCGAGAAGTTGGTGTCGACTGCCTCGTCCGTGTCGTACAAAGCGTTAGCAGTCTGCTCCTGTGGTCGCTCCTCCGCCGGCAGAGGCAAGGACTCTGGGGGCGAGCGCTCCGGGATCGAAGGCTCCGGGGGCGAGCACTCCGGGGGCGAGCGCTCTATTGGCGAGGGCTCTGGGAGTGACTGCTCTGGAGGCGATGGCTCTGGTAGCGAGTGCTCCATCTTTTCATCTAGCTCACCGGGGCTGGGTTCCACTGATCGTTCCGTCAGGCCAGGAGTGTCATTACTATCCATGCTGTCTTCGGGAGGCTGGAAGGCTTTCTCAGATTCAGTTTCCTGTGAAGGTATGCTGTCGCTGACCTCAGTTCGTACAGTTTGTTCATCTTGACTAGTAGTGTCGGCGACCTCGCTGGGCTCGGCACTGGCGGCGAGGTCCCCGGCAGGCTGTGTGTTGGCCCCGTCAGCTTCCTGCGGCTTGTCGCTATCCCCGTTGCCCGTAGTTTCTGCTTCCTCAGCCGCACCCCATCTAGACTTCCTATCTCTGTCTCGTCTCGAACTATTCCTATCATTTTTATCATTTCGTTCATCTTTCGGTGGCCTTGATTTACTCTGGCTATCTTCACGCCTGCTTTGATCATCACCACGCCGTGAATCGGCAGACTTATTTTGTTGAGTTTCGTCAGTACGACGCGAGTCGTTAGTTTTGTTTTGGTTGTCATCGCCGCGACGCTGGTCGCCAGGTCTGCCTTGGTCGTCAAAGTTCCTCCTCCTATCTCCTCTGTCTGGTCTGTTGTATCGGTTGTCCTCGTGATCCCTAGGTTGTCTTCTGTCCCTGCGTCGATCTTCCCAGTCGGGACGTCTGTCGCCCCAGTCTCGTTCGCGGTCGCGGTCTCCGCTCCAGCCTCGGTCGCCGAATTGGTCGCGATCATCGAATCGTCCTCGGGGACGGTCGAAGAATTCCGGAGGACCGTCGAAACGCGGCGGACCATCGAATGGTGGTCGGTCACCTTCGAAGGGTGGTTCGAATGGACGAGCTCCGTCGAAAGGCGGGCGCGGCCCGTCGAAGGGTGGGCGCGGGCCATCAAACGGTGGTCGCGGTCCGTCGAAAGGTGGCCGATTCATTCCATCAAACGGCATCCGTCCGAACGGTGGCCTCTCGAAACGTGGCCCGCCTTCGAACATGGGAGGGCCACCGTCGAAGGGAGGGCGCGGCCCGTCGAATGGCGGTCTGTTGAAAGGAGGGCCCATGCCATTGAAGCGCGGTCCGAAGGGTCCCGGGCCGGGGCCGTCCATCCAGGGACCTGAAAATAGTGAGGTACAACATTAGATCTAGCTGCAGCAAGCTGGGTGATCTGACATATGAGGTAACCTTGTCCAGCCATACCTGCCATCGGGGGCCTAGGCGGTCCTCTCATTCTCAATTCTGTAAATGGAAATACGCCTTTAATGACCAAATTTTGTTTCGAAAAATCTAAACTACTAAAAATTTTGCATTGATTGTGGTATTCTATAAAGAACCTGCCACCAGAAATATAATTGCAAACAAATATATTAATAGATAAATGAGGGACCCCAAATACAGAGAGAAAATTAGTTATAAAACAAAACAATAAGATAGTATTTGTGTTGCATTGTTGAGGTGAATTTTTGTGCAGTTACAGTATGAAGCAGGAAGATACACACTCAATATCTAATTTGGGTAAGTAAACGCGGTAACAAATAGGAAATATCATAGTTCAATATTTAATACCTTTTGTATATTGTTTTTCACCAATTGTGTAATTTAACGCCATTATTATTATTAGCTTTTCAGTTATTGAAATTTTTCTGCCCTTTGACCACCAATGAGGTTGCCATAGTTTATATTATCTCATCTTCGTTTTTATTCAATGGTATTTAATCAGGTATTTTGTAAAGAGTAAAGTCATAAGTTTCCAGAGTGCACATTATTTTGTATAGAATAGAAAAATATTTTTAATTTAAAAGATAACACATCTACTAGATGAAGAATGTTTTAAAGTATGGTAGAAGCAGAAGATCTTCAATTCATAAAAAAGCCTACAACTAAAAAGGTTCAAAAAGCTTGTACTACGCGATGCAGATTTTCATTCAAATTTTTAAGTCCAAAATCACGGACACTACTGAACAGATTTTAATGAAACTTTGTACTTGCTTGCCTAAAAACAAAATTAAGAATATTTTCGATATATTCTTATTCTTATTTATTTATAAAAGGTGTTCCAGCAACAGGTGTTTCTGTATACAAGTTCTTATGGGAAATATAACATGAGGCCTGTCTTATACAGTTGCCAATTATAGGATAACCAAAATTCTTTAAATACAAAATAATAACACAGATTAAAGCTTACAATCCACATTTTATGAGATGGAATTAATAAACTATATTTTTAAAACGATGTTTCCATGATTTTGGACATAGAAGATTATATGGTAATGGCACTGCGTATATAGGCTTTTAATAAAGCGATGATGTCACCAATGTCACATAATACATACAGTTTCATATTGAATATTAAACCTCATGAAACTACAAAGATTGACACAGTCATTGGCTCATTACAAAGCTAGTAGTAATAGTGGTACTAGTCACTCATAATATGTAGCTACATTTTCCATGCTATATCACAATGTTCAAAATAAGTTTTATAGATTATGTTGAGATCACACCCATGACACCATCATATTTTTGTGCCAAATAGCATTCATATTTTATCAAATCAATAACAAGAATATAAAAATGAAGTAAAGCTAACTGTCGAATAATTGAAAGAAATCATGCAATGTTTTTTACATAATTTCTAACATTGAAAACCCGTAATAATTAATTTAACATTTTACAAGAACTAGGTGAACAGTTTAAACCAAGAACTGAGGGAGAAATGGGCTCCTCCCACATCCCATCCCATCCCATCACACACTCCCCTCAGTCTCACTAAAAGATGGCTATATTGATCTGTATGTCTTGAATAAACACATTATGTTTACATAGGTTTTAAATATTAAGCTGTATGTATTTATTTGTTATTTGTGCACGAATTACATAGACGGACTAAATGTCATAGGCATTCATACTAGTCCACCTAAGGTGATGCAGAAAGAGTATGGCAGATGCAAGAAAAAGTATGTACAATGCGAACAAAGGTTGCGAAGATGTCAGACAAAGCAGTAAGCTAGAGCTAGTACATAAGTATGCACTGACCGGCGCGGAAGTGTGGCGCCATGTGTGGGGGGGGCAGGCGGGGCGCCCCCAGCGACGTCCAGCCATCGCCGCCCTCCGCTGTGTACCATACTCATGTTACTCGGGCTCGTCAGGGGCGCGGGCCTCGCCGGGGTCTCCGGTACATTGACATATAATACCAGAGGCCCCGGCTCGGAGTGGTTTTTAGTCACTCTGACACTCCCTTCCCCGTGGCGACAGGGGAAGAAGTGTCAGACTCTTATTGGAAATTGGAAAACAGATATCTGTATATATATTATTGTATCTGTTTAACTAATTCTGAGCAAGTAAACCATTGGGCAATGAGGAATTGAAATGGTTGCTAATTGGTTTTAATATGTTTTCAATGCTCTTACTATGCCTTTTTTGTATATGTTATAGGTAGTATAAAATCACACAGCAACAGAATAAGATAAAAGAGAGTTTCTTTCGAAATTTCACGACTCGGCCACAATTTTATCAATAGGCAACACATTTCCGTTGCTAAAGCAAGTACATTTATCTATGATAAAAAATCCACAATTAACTAACCTGTATCCATGGCAGGTGGTGGTCCGTCAAGTCTGGCCGGTAACCTGTCTATGAGCGGAGGTCTGTCAGTCCTCTGGTCCTCCCGACCGTCCTCCCTGTCCCTCTGTTCAGGGAAGTCTTCTCTCTTGTCCTCCCTTGCTGGCTTCCCATTGGCCATTTCCCATAGTCTCTCCTGTAGACTCTTCTCTGGATTTTCATTATTTGCTGGCGGTCTCGGAGACTTCTCGCGACTGCCCCCTTGATCTCTGTGAAAATTTATGTTGTATTAATATAACATAAAACTATGTTGCAAATTAACTCAATAAGAAGGATTTTAATAAGAACAATAACTTGGATACAGATTTTTTTCTGAGTATAATACCACATTTAGTAAATGCTACACTCAAGTTGCTTCTAATTAACCTGTATGTAAGGTTGTCCTAGTTGATATAGGTTAGGTTTATTTAGTGAGACTGAGAATTTATAGAGAAGTTATTTGATAATTTCAACTCTCACGAAAAAGTTTTGCTATATGTCTTATGACTAAAATGATGAAGAAAAATGTATTTAAATATATAAATAAAATGCTCTATGTACACAAAAAAATTTATACAAATCTCACCTGTTATTATCTCTTGAAGAGAATCTTTCGCCCCTGTCGCGATCTCTATCTCTATCTCTGTCTCTCCTGTCGCGACCTCGGTCTCTGTCGCGGTCCCGACGATCATCTCTTCCGTCACTATTGAGATAAAATTACTGTTAATTTTATTGCTTTTCTAAAATAGCTTATTTTGTCTTGTGTTTAGAGTTTAAAATGAAGACTTGGTAAAATCAAGACAAACATATACAAAGTAGTCTTTATAATTTTAAAATGCAAAAAACTTTAAGTTTGCTTTTGCTTTATTAAAAAAAAAATTGGTTACACTATGCACATAATAGGAGTTATAAATTGGATCGAACAATTAAAGTAAATACTTTTCAACACTAACATTAAGTTTCTTCAAAAAATGTTTGACCAAAAATCTCACAAACAAACCAAAATAAAATACCAACTCTAATCCAAACTACAATATTATAAATGCGAAAGGAACTCTGTCTATCTGTCGGTCTGTCTTTTCTTCAAGCCTAAACTACTGAACCGATTTCTGTGAAATTCGGTACAGACATAGTTTGGAACTCGAGAAATGACAGGATAGTTTTTAAACCAAAAACTGCAGGAAGTCCTAATTCCACGCTACCGGAGTAGCGGGTAAAAGGCTAGTGTAGGTATAATAAACAAACTCACCGATCTCGATCCCGTCCTCTATCACGTTCACCCCTATCCCTTCTATCACCCCTTTCCCCCCGATCACCCCTTTCTCTTCGATCCCTATCCCTCTCTCCTCTCCTATCCCTATCCCTTTCTCCGCCTCTCCTGTCCCTGTCTCTGTCTTTCCTGTCATCATCCATTTTGTCGTCAGGAGGAGGTTGTGTGATATTGAATGGTGGAGGCTCGGACATGTTGAAGCCTGGCGGAGGTTCCGCTGAGTTGAAGTTCGGAGGAGGTTTTGACAGTAGGGCTTGAATCTGTTTTGTGAAAGAATATTGTTAGTTTAGTGTTCTCTTGAAACACGTGAAACAATTTCACATACACATCACAGCCAAATCCATAATAACAATTTGTGGATCACACTAAGTAGTGTTCCGTGCGGGAATCGAACCCGTGACACGTTGCACAGCAGCCTACCGAGCAGTCAGTAAAATTAGAAGAAATCATTTTTTAAACTCGTTGCAATCTTTGGCATATTTATATTTATTCAATCTGAAAAAACAGACAATCGAATCCTTCCTGTTTATAATATTAGTATAGATATTATAAATGACGTATCTAACCTGGTCTGGCAATAAGGCAGGTGGTGGTGCGGATGTGTCGGTAGTGTCTGCTGCAGTTTCCTCAGCGTGCGAGTCTTCAGGGTCCAGGTCCATCGCATCGTCACTCTGGGTCGCCTCGCCTGATCTCTGTGGTATATAAATATATTCTTGTTAATACACAACAATATATCATATAAAGGTATATATTTTTATTTTTTGTAAAATAGGAACAGAATGTAGAAAGTAATCAGTCAGTGGTCACTGAATAAAAGTAATTGTGTTAGGTTTGAAAACTATTGTAATTTTTTTATTTATTAATAAGCCAGTCAGCTTTGTAGCACATTGGTAAAACGATGATGCACATTGCATATAAAAAAATGTCTTTTTTTTAATTTTTCTATGTTGTGAATGTGTTTACAATCACACAATTTCACAATTAACGAAACCTAGAACTATGGATAAAATCGTGGATGACAAAAAAGAATAGGACTTTACGGGAATCGAATCCACAACAGTTTACATGGCAGCTATAGTCAGAATTTTAATTCGATTCCTGATTTAACATGACCTACTGTCATTTTGTGAAATAATGATACCACATTATAACAGTGTAGTGATGATCAGTTTAAGGAAGGCATTTAAAAAATCACGGCTACCAAATGGTCTAAATGCGTATCCCATGTTGTCAAAGAAGAGGAAAAAATGAGTAAGCTAGATTTGTTAATTGATATTAAAAATCACAGACACAATTCATAATAAATGTTACAGAAAGTAACAGCGATAGCGTTAGCGAGTACGGCGACAATATATAAAATTTCTGTTTTATTTGTCATGTTCCTTCATGATCACATTTTTTATTAATTTCACACACAATTACAAAAGAAAAGTGTCAATCGTTAATTAATTGTCAAAACTAAATTATCGGTTCAGAAATATTTTATTTCCTGATAAACTTAGTTTACGAGAATAAATTTATAAACAAGAGGAATCGATGCAGAAATATTCGATTTCCATATCGAATAATTTAACAACGTCACTATTTTGTACGTGTCATAACGTTGCAACACTGGAATTGTCAAATCTGGAATGGAATTAAAATTCCGACTATATTTGGCCATATTCTGTCATGCCCATTTGTACATAACATTCAGATGGGGAACAACATGTGTGTTAGACTGGAAGTTGCTTCGTGGGGGATTTGAACCCGCGGCACGTCTGCCATGACAGACGTATTGGTGTAGGTGTAAGGTGGCGTATACTCACGGCATGGCCGGCGTCGTGCAGCGCGGGGTGCAGTATGGGCACGCCGGGTAGCAAGCCGCCCACGCCCAGCAGACTGCTCAGGAACCCGCCCACCATACCTGCAGGGGGAGGGAAATATATATTCAATTGGGTACATTCCTAGGTCAACAATAAATTAATACGACGTTTCAACAAAATTAAACATTACAAAATAGCTATATTTTTATAATATGACGTCATAATTTGAAGTTTAATAAATTGAAAAGTATCGTTTATGACATTTGGATAAAACTATTGAATTTGAATAGTTGGAAAATACTGTATCCTTCCCATGTTCGCTCTCTTATAGATTTAAGGAATGCACTCAAATGAACTCTTTTTAGATCTCTCAAGTTACTACAAGGCTCTAGTGAACGTGTCGCACATTTACATGAGTAAAATATTTTTTTCGATAAATTTAGTATGTCTCAAAAACTATTTGAAAATAATAAAATATTATTAAAAACGATTTGAGAGATCAAAATCCACTAGAATATTTGTAGAAAACAATCTTTAAAATAAAATGAGAAAACACGGCAAAAACAAAAAAGACATATTATTATAGTGAAACAAAATGCATTAATAAATTTTCCTGAAGTTTCCACATTAAAAAACACAAAATATTAAATCTAATAATATTAGTAAGTATGAATGTTTACCAGTTTGCGCGAGTGACTGCGGCGGTACTCCAGGCGGGAAGCGAAGCAGCGGAGCCCCGGGCGCCAGCCCCGCCTCGTTCTGCAGCCCTACAACATACCCTGCCGCTAAGAATATAACTATTAATTTATCTACCTTCCAATACGAATATATTTTTGACAATACTAGAGAACATAAAAGACTATTGAGATTATTGGATGCTTGGATATGGTATTACAGTTTTGAAATTCTTAGGAAAAAGAAAAGAACCTATTATTTATTTATTTCAAGGGATTTATAACTGGTAAAACTAAATTTAATACACTCTCTCTACCATAAAAAAGAATTTTGTAATAGTACACAGTACAGTGACAAATAATCATATATTTTTAAAGATGCTGTAGCACTTTATTTTCTTTTAAAGTTGCGTTTTGAAATGTATAATTTTACAAACAACAATTAATCGCGGAGATCGAGCCCGCAATACGAGACGTGAATCAATTGCCCAGCCGCTGTAACTGGCCAAATATAGGCATGCCAGGGAAATGTAATGTAAAAGTAATATTTACCAGGCACTCCGGCCGCCATGTTGGGTAGTGTCGGCGGTCTGATGCCCGGCGGTATGCCCGGAGCTAGCCCAGGTGGCATGCCCGCTGACATTCTGAAATATACAATAAAATTCAGTTAGATTTATATAAACACACTGTTATACAAACGATTAAGATAAAGAAAGAAACGGAAGCCTAGTCTTAATAAGGTAGACCAGGATTTTTCATTTTGTATTTTAATATGCTTTAGAATGATTTGTGCACCTTTTAATTTATCTCTGCATCACCCAAAGGTTTGGCTGTTGGAATTCTCCAAAAGCCAAACCCATGGCATTAATTACCTTAGTATATTTCTTTTTGTGCATAAGGGTATTAAATAAATAAATTAAATTTGTAGATTTGAAATAATTGACTACTCACCCTGGAGGAGGCATTCTAGGTATGCTGATAGCTGGGTTAGCCCCTGGAGGTAGGTTGGGGGGAAGGCTGAGCGTAGGGGGCATGCTGACAGGCGGCATGCTAACTGGGGGCAGACTGCCTGGCAGTGTGCCCAGTGTGCCCAGGGGCAGGCCCGGGGCTGTGCCCGGCATGCCCAGCATAGACATGTTGTCCATCATCGTCTTGGGGAGGATCTGGTGAAGGATGGAATCAAGTTAATATAACAATGAAACAGAAAATTTACTTGTAGAATTGTTTATGATCTGATTGTTGCTGAGTAGTAATTTGGTGGGCATAAGAAAATAAGTCGAAGAAGTTTCTTTTGGCTACTTTAATATTGTACAAAAGACAATTGAAATCAACCTATTTTAAACTCATAACGCGAATGTCCTTTAGACATGACAAAGGCATTGTTATTTACTGCAAGTAATATTTAATAGGCAAGTACTTCAAGTAAGTTTGGGGAGGCCTATGTCCAGCAGTGGACGAAATCAGGCTGTTGATGATGATAATAATAATAGAGAGACGTTTACCCTGGGCGGCAACCATGGCGGCAGCGTGTCCTCGTCGACGGCGCCGCCGTCCTCGAGCGCGTCGAGCGAGAGCGCGGCGAGCGCCCAGCGCGCCTGCAGCGCCGCCCACGGCAGGTACGACACGCCCAGCTCCGCCTCCCAGTAGTCCTTCCACTCGCGACCCTTCACGCCCTTACCCGGCGCCCACGCCACCTGCATACCATGTTTATTTACTATTTGTCACTCTCATAAAACTACATTCACAACTCATATAGGAAGCAAATCTCGGGACTCACGTCCAATTTGAATGAATCTTAACTTTATTTTAAATTTTACCAATAAATAAAATAATGTAGAAAAAATTCTATTGATATCTTAAAAAAAGTTAAGAAGATACAATGATCAACATACCGTAATCTCTTTAGAATGCAGTTTATGCCTGTTCAGCTTAGCGATGGCTTTGGCAGCGTCCCGTCGTCTCTCCATGACTACGAAGGCGCACCCTCGCGGCGCGACCACGTCGATGGCGGCCACCCCGCCTATTGCACCGAACAGGTCCGACAGTTCTTCCGGCGTCGCTAGTTTGGATAGGTGGCCTACCCATAGCGTGGTACTGCATACTGGAAATAAATAATAATTATTGTAAAATACTATGTTTGCTAGTTGGTGAATTGGTGGTTAGCATAGCACATATACTGGTCTTAGATTTGTTCATTATCGAAATCTTTTGTATGCATGAAACATACAAAACAAAGCATGGTAAGAGTAATCGGCGCCGCCCATGGAGATCCAAAGCATCAGAGGAGTTGGAAGGGCGTTGCCGATCTTTAGGAAGTTAGATGTAAAAGATTAGGAGTTTGAAGGCGTAATAATATATGCGATTGAAGTACCCTTGAAATCACGAAGCTGGCACATACAATCGAAATTAAATATTCATGTATGCAATACAAATAAACGTGCAAGCCTAATAAATCTAATATAGAAAATCAGATTTCCATGATTAAAAACTTACCACTAAGATTTTCCTTCTTAATTGGCGGAAGTCCTTTCTTCTCTCGCTCCCTCTGCTTCTCTCTTTCTGCCTCCCGTTCTTTGTAGTTCTTTTCCTTATCTCTATCTCTATCCTTATCTCTGAAAAAAATAATACGTATTTATTAATTAATTTGCTCATACATAAAACAGTCAAGTTTGAACTTTATTTTAGAAACAGTATTATGATCTCCATTTTGTTGCGGAATTTTGACCTTTTCCTGTTTATCTATTGTACTTTGACTTAGACTTAAGATATTATACATTTTGTAATCTACCTTTTTATAACAAATAAACATTTTATTATTATATTATTTATCTTCAATACTTTAGTTTATTAGTCGCAATAACACATCACACAACATTTATCTTGATTGCCAGATAATTCACGTCCTCACTCCGAATAGTAGTTAAATTGCCTTCGCATTTTCCCATACATTTATGTTGAGTGGTTTATCAGTTAATTATGAAATACGAAATTCACAAGGTTCATACTGATCCTCTCTTTAAATTCAATGACTATAAAAAATTACTATGCCACTCTAAAACTAGTCATTAAATGTATGTTCACAGAACACACCAAAAAAGAATCTCACCTTTCTCTATCGCGGTCTCTGTCCCTCCTTCTCCTTGGAGACCTTGACCTCGACCGCGATGACCTTCGTCGACGTCGCGGCGACTTTGACCTCGAACGATGTCGCCGAGATTTGGGTGATGGACTGGAAGTTTTTATTGATTTATTAGATGCGAGTTTTCAAGATTTTTTCTTTTACAATATGAACCTCAACACGCAATATATGTAAGATAAGGTGCGGATTCATGATCTGCAGAGGAGATGATTTTTAAAGGAATTGATTTGTTCTTTTTTTAACAATTGGATAACCCCTCATGCAAATTAAGTGAGTAGTAATCTGTGGAGATTATACATAATAATATCTTGCACTTACAGGTATGGCATAATTTGCATTGTAATAATTAATAGACTATATTTAGGCTCACAAATATTTATAATAATAAAAAAACAAAATGATTTATTTTATCTCTACAAATTACATGTTTTATGACATTTAATGTAAACATCATAAAAAATCAATTAGCAATTCACAAATTAAAAAAAAAAACAGTACTAATTATGTTTGTACTGCGAAATATCGTTAAATAATTACCTAGAATCATTAGCGTCAGGAATTTCAATCACTTGCGGTCCAGTCTCTACAAACTCAATGTCAGACTCGACCATATCATCCTTGGGGTCATTCTGTTTCTGGGAATCTGACTGTGATCCCTGGAAAGAAAAGAATAAATTGATGATCAGTTTAATTAAATATTACTTTTTTAAAGCTTCAAAATACACAACAACACACGACGGGTCGGGATACGTACGCATAATTCGCAGGTGAAGCAATCACATTCGAAGAATTTTGTATATGGAACTCTTATCTATTATCACTTAATTAGGAACTTGTCTCTATTGGTCAATTCAATACTTTTTCCAATTGGTTCCATTTGGAATATTGAAACTAGCCGAATTTAATATTGTATTGCAGTATTGGTCAATGCCAAATTTGGAGATATTCACTGCGTTAAAAAAAGGCCTCTCGCTCTTAAGAGCTTGTTTTCTAGACCTTCTCAAGCCGACTTAATGATTTAGGATGGCTAGATGAATGAAACGTCACAATTGCATGTATCTGTGTGATTGGTAGTTTTAAAGACATATCTAGTCCCTTTTTTTAGGGGGAATCTCAAATGAATTCTCTCGCCTAGGAGCGAGAGGGAGTGATATACTCTTACTGACTAAAAACCACCCCAATCCTTCTCCTTCTCCGGACCGGTACATTATTGCGCTTGCAAGCACAACCCGAATATATTGCCTGCATTTTCGATAGTCATAACGACATAAGATTTTCAACCTTATTACATGCACTAAGAGTCAAAATCTATTGAGACTGTAGATGTAAGCTTGTATCGTCATCACGATACGATATCGTGTGATAGAACTTTAACTAATATAATATAGCAAAGGCAGTTTTTGCAAATAATAAAACCTAGACAAAGCAATGATATGGGCAAGGAATCCTGTTTAAAATAATCTTACCATGAATGGCAGGCCTTGATTTTGTGATTGTTGCATTTGGAGATCAGACATCATAGGCATCAGATTCTAAAACAATCAAGCAAGTTGACTGTTAGTTATTAAATTGTTATTTTTGGGCCCTTTTCCCAATTAATTAATTTAAAAAGGTTTTTGTTATTTCCTTCTAGTATCTGTTGGCTATGAGCATTTGTCTTTAGTATGGGGTATGTTTCTTGATAAGCAATTTAATAGTTATATGTATTGCACAATGCTCATTCTCATGCAGAGTTCATGCAATGATTTCTAAGGTATACTACTTACAGGTATTTGCATTCCAGTCATCATCTGCATCTGCGCCTGCAAACTCTGCAGCTGCCTCATGATTTCAGGATTTGTTAATATGCTGGAACATTATAAAAGAAGTTGTGGGGTTAATGTGTGAAACAAGAATAGAACAGGTTGATAAAGTGGTCTTTAAGAGGTAAGGCTGAAGCTAATACATCCAAATCTTGCCCACAAGATTTAATTTTTTATATGAACTGTACTACTATTTTATTTTAAACTTTGTACCTTTATATTTGTTTCATGTAAGTACAATAAAGTTTTGTAAAGTCACAGTCAAATCAAAATCGTTTATTACAACTAAACCATTAACAGGTTCTTTAAACCTTAAAGCAGAATAATCGTTTTTATTTATTACAGTGTAGAAGAGACTACTGTAGAGTTAACAATATTAAATCTACTATGTGTAAAATTTGATCATAATGAACACTGAATGGCTTATTATCCTTTATAATTTGAAATAGTATATTCCATTACAGCAAAACAAACAAAAACATCATTTTTAAGTCAGAAAAGACTGATTAAAGCAATATTTACCTTCCCAAAGCATCTGCGGGGTTTTGCTGCGCATGAGTAGCAGAATGGGTGGCGTGTGTCGAGTGTGAGGTGTGGGTGGAATGCGAGGAGTGCTGGGGCGCGGGCTCTGGGGCCGCATCGTCCTCACTTTCATACTCGAAGTCATTCAGCAACTTTCTATTGAACTTCGCCGGTTGACTTGAAGGTTGGTCCTGGAACTGTTAGAATAAAACTTATTCATTGTTTAAGAAACCACTGCGTTACTATGGCCCTTCGCTGCGAAGGAGAGGTTTGCCTTAATCACCACAGTTGGCAAGCAGGTTGGATTAAACAGTTTAAAATGACAAATAATATTGGATAATGCATGCTTGAGTAAAATGAGTACAAGTATATTTCTCACTTATGGTTTGTGCTGAAGTTTGATTAAATTCTATTTGAAAACATTGTAGTGTGTTTTATACATTGTAATTTCAGTGTAAGTTGTTATTAAGTTACAAGGTAATGGTATTTCCCATCTGTTATCACTTAACATTGTATAACAGTAAAGGCAACCTGTTGTTACATACAAACAGTCCACAATTATTTTTAGTATCCAGTATTGAAAAATGTTGAATTTGTGATTAGCATTATGATTAGAGAAAAATTTAACTATTATTAAGAATTACTTAAATGTTTGCCTAATTTAATTTAAGTGACAACAATTCTCTCATTATTTACTAGTCAATGTTTTATAATTAGTAATTAAATGGCATAGTTATGATTTAACAGCAATTGCTAATTATTATAACATTACTGATTAATAATACAGTTATCAGGCATTAAATCATATGAATCCCCAATGAACCAATTACAAGTAGATAAAAAAAATTCTAAAGATAAGAAAGTAAACATTTTTTTTTTTTAATTAGTTATGTAGAATAATGGAACAGGTTGTTGTTATATTCAACCTCTTTTATGATTGTTTAAGTTCAAAGAGGTCAGTTGGTGATAAGGTTGATTTATCAAGAGTTATAGAGAAGTGACTGCTTTATTTTTTAATATACTAATGTACATAACTATTTGGGATTTTTATTGAAGGTAAAAATGCCCCGAGATCTGTTAGGCAATATTTCAATTTTCAAAGCCTTTCAATATGTAATTTACACCTTTATTACTTGAATGTACTTTATATTATTATTTATACTACTTGAATCTCATACAAATCTCAAAGACTTTTAAAAATATATAAATATTTAAAGTTTTATTATTTATTATAAAATGAACCTTATATTCTACTATCTAAGTCATATTACCTGATCTCCCATAGGTGTGGATGACTGCGGAGTATGAAGTGGTTGTGGCACTGGAGATATTTTGCTATCTGTTGCATTGTGACTTATGTTCAAACTGCTTCCTGAAATTTTATATATTCAATTTTATTTACAAGTCTGTAAGGTCTACATATAATAATAGGTTTTCTAGTGGTACTATAAATTGTTTAGTGTAACACCCAACAAGTATTACAGGTAGGTTTCGCTAATTATAAAATCCTTAAAATTCAGCTTAACCTTTTGAACACTCCTTTTATTACACAGGAGAATCAACCATTAACCAATTAAATTGAGTTTACAGACAAGCCATTAAAAAACATGAATCCAAAAATTTTAAGTTTATAGTTGTTTGGTGGATTTAATCCCAAAATTTTATAACTAAAGATTGTTTATCAATTCAGACAATATTTAATATTTGTACCTTATATATAGTGAATAAATATAGAAGTTAGTTTTAAGTGATTAAGGATGATGTTACCATTTGCAGTGTTGTTTTGTTGTTGTTGTATCTCTTGATGCAACGGATGATTGGGGTCTGCCATGTCAAGAAGAGGTTGTATAACTTGTGGACTGAACACATTGTTCTTTTGCCATAAATTAAGTACTCTGATGATGTTCCGCTGAAAAAAAAAACATTTTTTTTTATGTTTGTATTCAGAGATTATTTATACACTGTTACTAATGTAAACATAGAGAAATACTTATTTTCAACTAACAGAGAAATACTTATTTTCAACTTACTGGATTTGTACATTTATGTATTTAATATAATGTTGTTTCGTTTGACAATACAAGCTATCAATGTTATTTATAACATGTAATATATTGACTACTAATGTATCTTTGCTAACAAATAAAGCTTGTTTGTGGGAGAACCTTACCCGGGATAATAGCTAAGCACAATTTAAACTCTGATTGAATAGTAAATCCAATTTCATTTACAATTAGCTCGATACATAGATAAGAGAGGATAGGGTTACCAGATAAAAAAATCAAAAGACCGGAGATATAGCCCGATTTGTATAAAAATGGCCTGAGATTTTATACTTAAGTTAGTAGTTAAAATCTATACTTATTTACCCAATAAGTGTAGATTTTAACTGCATTTTTTACGAAAAAGAGGAAAGAAAGAAGAAAAAAAGAAAATAAATTTATTTTGCTACACGTCAAATATTGTGTTTAGTTTTTTACTTGGATAAATAAGTAGGTATAGATTTTTACTGCAATAATTGTTACCAAAAAAAGATGGTTTTTAGTTGGTTTAAGTTTTAATTGAAGTGATCTTTTAACTGTAAGGACCGTGTAAGACTTGCCGTGCTTTTTGATTACCAGTTATCTGCGTTCTGACAGTTTGAGTACTTGCGCGACCCACCCAAATGTTCTTTTGATCGGTATTGTTCGTCGGACAACTCAGCAGCACTAGCTATACTGGTTGCAAACTGACACTTGCGTGCCTGTCTTCAGAACGGGTCCACTTAAACTGGTGTGGTTCTTTCCTCAAAAGACCACCACAGAATGAACTTGCACGATTCTCTCACATTATGTTATTTTACATTGTCTGGGCTTGAAAAGAGACTGACCTATCTGAGTTTGTTTCGGCATTTCTTCTCAGAGTAGTCAGATAGGAAATGCCGGCTTCATCTAGTTTTTCACATATAATTTGACGTGTAAAAGTGCTTTTTTATGGCTATTTGCAAAAATAAATTCATTGTTTCATTGTTAACTGTAACCTGTGTTTATTGAAAATCCTGAGATTTTACGATATTTGCAAAATCCGGCCGAAATCCTCCGAGAAGTCGAAAAATCCTGAAATCCCAGGACAAATCCTGAGATATGGTAACCCTAAGAGAGGAGCGAATTATAACCTAAAACATTCATTTTATGTAACTAACCTTATCCTCAGGAGGACATCTGAAGAGGTTTGCAAAAGTTTGTTGCATGTTCTTTGCAAACCGCGGCGCGAAGACATCCTTATCTTGCCCGAACTGATGCCGGGACTGTCTCACTATTGAATCTATCACGTAAAGGCCAGGCACCTTATACTCAGGCTTGCATTTCTGAATGAACTTTTCAACACTGTGCACTACATGTTTATAGAACTTTATGGCCTTTATAGCACCTCTGGTGATAGCACTCATCTTCGCCTTTGATATGGGCGGCTTGTTGTCGTACAACGCGGATAACTGTAAGAAAAATTTTGTTAATAAAATGCCACGGAACATTTTGTATGATACGAAAACCGAGTAACAAGTATACCTCCGCGTTGAACGATTTAACTTCTGGCATTTCCATTTTGGCTTATTTGCTTCTTTCACTATTAGATAAACTAAACTACATCGCCATTAAAACTTATTATTGAAAAGAAAATCATTTTGAGAGTCGAATCAACATGCTCAAAATTACAAAATGGCGTGCGCAGAATATTGTTGTCTATGGAAAAGTGGCATGAGTTGAAGCTTGCGTTCAGAAACAAAAAAATGCTACGATCATAATATATCAATAAATTAGACATCGATGTTCTTATTTGCAAAACAAGCTAATATAAAATACATTGCAATATATAAATAGCAAAGCAAATAAATGAATCCACATTTGCCTTCAAAATAAATAAAACACAATGACCACGTCATAAATATTAAAGTTTTTTAGTCTATGGTCACACAATTTAATTATTTCCATTATAATTATCTTTCACAGTAGGCTTCATATAAAATCATCATCATCATCATCATCCTGATGTCGACCACTGCTAAACATACGCCTCCCAATTGCACGCCACTGTGCTCGATGTTCAGGTCTTCTCTTATAAAATAGTTCTTGTGTTTTCTTTTTTCGTAATGTTTTTCAGTTATTTCAGCGGTTTTATTCTGAGAGCTTCAAATATGTGTGTGATTTTTTTAACAAATTGACCTTTTTCTTTTAAACAAAATACCTTTGCTTTATTATCAGTTTGCAGAAGTGAGACAGATTTAAAATAAGTATATATTTACTTAGAATTATTTGTAGCAAAAAAGACTTCGAGCCATTTGAAAAAAAACTTGAGCAAATGACAATGAATGTCAAGTTGACATATCACCGATTCACCACAACAATCAAGGGTGGCGTTATTTTAGAAATAAATAAACATTTAATTCGTTATGCTTTAATTTGTCTTTAGAGTCGTGTTCAAGTATTAAAAGAATTAACTTTGTTATCCTCTACGAAGACATATTTATTTGTGTGGAATATTTTTGAAAATATCAGGGTGTAAAATAACCCATATCAAAAAAGACTTCAATCTAAGTAATAAAATTAGGACCCTTTTGATTCAAGTTATATAGATAGCAGTATGGCTGACGAATATGCTGCAGTTAAGCGTGGAAAATTAATTCTGAAAGGAGACAAGCCTAAGTGAGTACAACTTTAAACCAACCTAACTCTTATAACCTATACACATTACATTGTATTAGAATTCAGAGATATGCGAATATAAATCGTTTTTGTATATTCATGTTAACAATCCTCATTACTAAGGGCTGATTTTTTAAGGGGTAGATAAAAGTTACCTGGTAAATAATTCTGACTATTGAAAAATCAGTGCTTAGTCAAATAAACTACAGAGGTATCACTTTATTCTCATCTCCACTGATAAGTTTCAATGTAATAGAAAATCTAACGAATCCAATTTATTTACAGGGCCAAGAAACGCAAACATAAGAGAAAAGAAAATTCAGAAGATTCAAAAGTAGATGAGGACTCCATGAAACATGGTGGTTGGTGGAAGGTTGATAAAATTGAAGATATAACCGGCTCAATATCCATAGAGTTTGGCAATAATTCTTATGTGTCAGCTTTGGATAATGGCCTTTTTACTCTTGGTGCTCCACATGGAGATGGGGAAGGTCCTTCTCCAGAAGAAATATTTACTGCATTTCCAGCCGGAGAGAACAAATTTGCTTTGAAATCTGGGTATGGCAAGTATTTGGGAGTAGCAAAGGATACTGTGGTTGGGAGATCTGATGCAGTAGGAGCTATGGAACAGTGGGAGCCTGTGTGGCAGGATGGTGAGTGCTATTGGGACCTGTAAAGCAATATGTCACAGCAATAAAGTCACATTGTGAATAGCTCATGACACACAATTACTAGACTAGACTAGACATCTATCTTTAACGTAAGAGGAGTTTACCATTATTTATATACCCATTTGTTAGTTAGGTTGGAGACCAAATTTTATAAGATGGGGTTTATGAGTGTTTCTATCCTGGAATGAGTAAATCAAATATGCAATTTTCTTAGTCATCTTTTGCACCACCAATGGGAAGATTTAGGATAAATATGTTAAAATTAAATAATATTCACAATGTATCACTCATTTTGCAGGTAAAACAGCCATCCTGAGTTCTTTAAACAAGTTTATGTCTGTGGACCCTGAAGACGATGCAGTGGTTGCTCGCACTACTTCAGCTGGTGTAAATGAATTTTGTAACATCCGCAGCAATAAGACTAAGGAGGTCAACAAGTCTGTACTTCCTGATGAAGAGCAGGCTGATTTATCACAAGTTGAAGTTAACTATGTGTGAGTGTTTTATTATATAAAATTATTCATTAGTATGTATAAGTTTATACATAATCATTTGGATGTGCCCTTTGTATATATGTTACACTTTTAGTAAAAAATAATCAATATTTTAAAGGTTTTCAAAATGAACTATTTATATTATACATATATGTATATGAGAAAAATAAGTATTTCTTTATATAAAATTATTGACTTATGTTAATATATATTTTTCAGCAAGAAGTTCCAGAAATTCCAGGACAAGAAGCTGAGGCTGAATGATGGCAGTATTTCAGAGCTAAAGAAAGCTAAGACAGAAGGAAACCTGCATGAAACATTATTAGATCGTAGGAGTAAGATGAAAGCTGACAGATATTGTAAATAGACTAGTTTTATAAAAATATAAAGCTGATTTTTTCATTTTTCTTTTACTTATTAGACATAACAAGTTTACATTTACCAACTGAGAACTCATGATAGAATCTAGTGTCTAAAGGAAACACAATGTTAGCTACAAAACAATAAAACTACAAAATCATTAATCAAATTCGTTTAATTATAGCAATAAGTATTACACAAGTTACAATGAAAATCAATGGTAAACAAAACACAAATCACTTTCGAATGTTTTTATTTAATTTCTCATGTAATAAGTTCCGGTACATTGGCCTAAACGATTTGCGATAAATTTAGAATACACTGTATTTTACAGAGAAACCATTTACTTATAATCAGATAATTTGAATATGCTACCTACATGTCTTATATAAAAACGATATCTACACCTAAATCTAGTGTTAGACTAGACACAGACCTAGTCTATTGGAACATGATTTAAAGTGGCCTCAGTGGTCCAGTCTAAAGTAATGGTGTATATTGGATTCTATTATAGTTGGTATGTGAGTGTGCGGTATCATATCTGGCGTGTTTACAACCCTTACTTAAACACATTAATCACTGGTCACTATGTTTAAGCTAAAGTTTATTCTGTACAATTTTTAATCAAGGTAAATACTCCACCTAATTTAAAACGAAATATGATTTATAATATAGAACTTTCAATATGTAATATATTATTCTCAAATCTCAATTGAAACTAAAATCGTATATTTCAAGAGTCAATTTTTATTTTATTATATTTAATTTTATTTTCAATGAAATTTCGGATAATTTTCCTTATCGTAATTTGATGCCCTTTATTAGCTGAATAATTATAAAAACACGCTAGATATACCTATCGCACAAACACATTCAGATAAGTTACCCTATGCATTGTGTTCAAAATCAGTCGAAGGCCATCTGAGGCTGATACCAGACAATCGAAGCATTTCATTGAATCGCAATACGCTATGGCTAGTCCCACCAAGTATTGCTTAAAATAAATATACACATCCTGTTCAAAAGAGTTTTCTTGCCTGTTGTACTGTTTTATTGCAAACATAATAAATAATAAAAGATCGGTGGGCAAATTTATATATTCAACATGTGTCAACAGATTTTGATGTATGAGATTGCATATTTAATATTTTAAATATATACTTGTATGAGAGGAGCATTGCAAAATCATAATATACATACATCTAAAATAAATGCTAAAAATATACACGTAATCTTATGTCTACAAGTTAATTGGACAAATAATACATACAAAATACAATGTAATGTACTGACCATTGATGTATCAAGCTCCTCGTGTGGTCAACCAATATTTACAAACACTGTGAAATAATGGTAATGAAAAATGTGCAGCATGCTTTGCATAAATATAGTACTAGGGGCGCGTCAAACGAGAATTGTTCTAATAGAAAAGAAAACAAAAAATATTGTGTATAAACAATACCTGTTTGTTTTATTCTTTACAAAAGTCGTTACAAATCAGTTTACATCATTCGCACGACAAAACACCCGAAACAGCTCGCAAGATATGAATAAAAAATATTAACGGCTCATACACACTGAAATGTTCACTCATTACTAGGTTTTGGCATGAATGGCGGAGCGCCTTCTATACTACCATTTTTGAAATGAAATCATATAGTCGTTGTGGCTTCGGAGACAATATAACAAGGAGAAATAATTGTGGACATGACTTTAGAATTAAGAAGCAAGACAAGAGTTCATTCTAAGTTCTTTATACACAGTTTCTTTCAAACAGAATGCTTGGAGTGTCACATTATACATAGCTATTACCGCCCGCAATAAACTACTAACATTATAATAATAAATTGCCCTGTTTTATCTGTAATAAATTACATTACAAACCTTTATGGCTCAAGTATTTCAAGGAATTCAGTGAGTGAGCTTGTTAGTTTTTTAATAACAGTACGATTTGGGATACATCTCGCATATTTATAATACTTATAATTATGTAGACATGACAACCTATAAAAACATGTAAAATAATATGGAACTACTAATTTGAATAACATTCTATACTCCTTCACTCTCGGTACCACATCAATTAACTTGATCCGGTACAGTCAATATCAAGTCGTTATAAAAACATCTTATTAGGCGTAATGCTTGAACGACGAATACTATACGGCACGGCTCGTTAAGCCGAAGCTTTGCGGCACGAAAATCCACGCAACGGTCCTACGTAGCATTGGTTCATTTTATCCTAAATGTTGGCGAGGAACAAAGAGTACAGCACCTAGGCCAAAAGCATGGTATGATTTCGATTTAACCGCATTCGTCGCTCACAGAACAAGTTCCTAACCCTTGCACTTGCTTCGTTTGCATTGGTCAATATTGTTAAAGAGAACTGAAGGCTGAAAAATAAATAAAACTGAATTGTGTTTTCTTGTTTCTAAGGGACCACAGTGTCATGTCTACATAACCATTTTACCAGTAGTATTGGACTTACCATTGTGTTGTGAGAGAGCACACACATTCTCTTTCCCTAACTTAGACCTAACATACCATTGATATAGCCCTTCATATCTAATCAAGTCTTTTTCACTTTCCTTATATTGACCAATTCATAATAAGACCTATCCACATTGTTATGAACAATGTCTCTCCCACTATCCATGGAGAAGTGTACAAATGGAGCGCTTGTGTCCAAATTTAAACAGCTGTATTTGGTTTTGTAGGGTGATAAGGATCAACATTGACTTGAGTATAGAAATGAGATTATTATCACCCAATATAATGTAATAACCTGACTGAAAGTAAGTTTATGGTAGCAGGTGTCAGGATCAGTTGATTGTATGGGTGTGTGTTAGCACTTCATGAGTAGGCGAGTGGCGGGCGTCTGTCTCGGCAGGGCGGCAGCGCGGGGCGGGCGGCGCGCGGGCGCCCTCAGCTGGCGGCCGGCATGGCGGCGTCACCCGCACGCTCCGCCCGCAGCCACTCCACGAACTCGTCTAGCATTACCGGCCCTGGAACATCACAAACAAATCATTCAGTATAAGCGACACGAAACAATGTTAAGTGCAAAGCATGGCTCTCCAACATGGAGAGCCATGCTTTGACACGAATAAGCATAGACGGCGTGAAGCAGCATTAAAATTTTGTTTCCTGGTGTGAGTGAGGTTACCAAACGCCCAATCCTCCCCGGATTCGTCGCTCAGTCGCTCAAATGCTCTATCCCTAATGACCCACAAGAGGCCTTGCTGGCCTCTTATAGTAACTTCTTTGGTATTAAGAGTGCCCATAGGCGGCGCTTATTGCCATCAGGTAATGCGTCTGCTCGTTTGCAGACTTATAGCATAAAAATAAGTTTTTACATGTCTTGAGTAAATTATTGATTTCTCCTAGCTAGTGAAAATTGTTATGAAAGCTTAAAGTCCTACAAAGGACAGAATAAGTGGATTTTCTACTATGCTTTTTATACATGGCCGATATGTTGTCTCATTAGTTCTAGAAGATTCTGGGAAAATTTATCAATATTGACCAGAAACTAATTAAGCAATATTTTTGCATTCTGATCAGATTTTTTTATAATTTAGAGAGGTAGGCCATTTCCCAATGAGGCCTATTTAGAATTCCTTGCTTTAACATCTGATGTTCAGCAGTGGATGTATGACTGATATGATACCAGTACCAGTGAACAAGTTAAATGCAAGCTGTACACTTACAGGCACCATCAGCATCATATGAGTTGAGTTGTGTGTCGACGGTGCGACTGAATTCCAGTATGTTGCACCACTGGTCGCGGTTGACGACCCGGTAGCGACGCTCCCGAGCTAGGAAGTCGGATAACGCGGGCCGGAGCGCCCAACGAGGGAGTAATACACCCAGTAGAGCGCGCGCTGTACCCGTCTCCAATGATCGCTGGTCCTTATCCTGAGAACAAATATAATAACGTTTCATTACAGGTGCAAAGTTAACCATTGTATACCTTGTCTTGGTGTGGCTTAGATTAAACACCTACTAGCAGACCTGGTGAACATCAAACTGTCTTAAAAAATTCTAGTGCCTTTAATAATGTCAGTTATGTGACTTCTCAACTACCTATATAAAGATGTTTACAGAGCACAGTCTGTATAGTAAAAAAACACATATTTTTCACGGTTTAAACATTTACTTTATCTATCTATACTTCCACCAATATTTCAAAGTTGATAAGTTGGTCTAACCAGCCTTTCAGTTTTAGCGAGACTACCGAACAGCTATTTAATGTCATTGGCATGCCAATATTGTTGACATTTTAGTTTCAGTGTAAGCAAATTACTGGATAGGACTGATATATGACTAGTAGACATTATCCTTAGAATAATAACAGTGATTACTATGGAATCCTAGGCGTAAGAGAACTAGGTATATCCGTCAAAAAGACTTCAGGTTGAATAAAGTATTAGTTAGGTCAATTAGATTTTTTCGGCTTTTATGTCTGATACAAAAAGTTTTAGATTACACTTTCGTCTTTAGATCTGGCGCTACATCGAGCTTATTCATGGGTAAATACCTTATTAGTTAATAGGTAATTAGATAATATTAACTAATTAATTATTATATACATTTTTGAAAACAAATTAGGTAATTTAATTTAGGTAGATATTACTAGATATATAAAGATACAGAATGTAAAACCACTTTTTAAGCGTCATAAAGTTAAGTTCACGATTCAGATCAACTTCAGCTGACCTAAGAAAATTGAGTTGTCGAGTGAATTTGAGTTATTAATTGATAAAGAAGTACAATTAATATTTCATAAATTAGAAATTGTCATATTCGGCACAAAATTTATAGAAATTTATTCAATAAAAAATTGTTACTTGACTCGAGTTTAATCGATATAAGGTCGACTCGGAAAAATCGATCTAAGCTGGACTCGTAACTCGAAAGAATCGATTTAAGCCCAACTCGAGTAAAATTGATTGGCAGAGCACTAGAAGGAATCATATCACCAGTTTCGCAGTGGCTCTCTAATCGAAAAGTTTGTTTATAGACATTTTGTTAAGCTTATGGGAAATTTTGAAGCTTATACAATGACAAGTAAAGTTAATAAAAACATTTGCAACTGGTTCTCAAAACCTACAGTACCGTGTCAGCCGTCGGAGGCTGGTGGCTTGACTCATAATATAATAAGCACAGCTGTACAAGCACTAAGCAGTTACATTAGAAGGTAAGTGTTTTAATCATATTACTTCTTTTAGTTTTATTTACACAAGAATCAGTACTAGTGTCATATACAAGACAAGATTACTAAATGACCATCAAAATTTGACATGGATATATAATATAATGTACTAAATTAGTGGTAAAAAACAGTGTTGTGGACTCAGACCTTCGTGCCAGGACCAGCATATTAATCTGAGCTTTGTTGTTATTTATTTTATAGGTATCTTGTCTGTATTAGAGGGTATTTAACAGATTTTTCTTCATTCTCTCTGAGATAAGTAAAACGCGTCGAAAGCGGCGCTTAGAGAAATTGGAAAACAGACGCAATGATGAGAGGCTTCATAGCAATTTGCCACCAGTGATACCCTTGCCATGGGATTGGCGACCAAAAGCACCCAGCGCTCCAATAGATATACCACGACGTCGTTGGAAACTTCAAAATGGATTGGAGAATATTCGGGAGATGAGGCCAGTGCCGAGGCAGAGGCCGAGAGATTATTGTTGAACCCAAACTATCAAGGATGGGAATTAAGCGAAGACCTTTCCCCCTATAGGAAGAAACCAGGGCTACGAGATGAAAAAGTTATAAGTATTCCTAATGTTGTGATTTAGTCAATAATATATGTATATAGACTTTTATAAACCAATTTGTTTTATTTACCGATTATGTTTCGAAACTAAAAATCATCTACCACACACCACAACACAAATATAATAAGTCAGGTAATCTGGATGAATAAGGAGTGGACGAAAGTACTGTGAAAATACCACGGGGTAGTAAGCTATGATCCTAAGAACAATCGTCAGGGGTACAGGTAGTTAAGGTATTTTTGAAAACAATAGAAAATAGGTGAGTACCTAAAAATCTTCATTGTTATACAAAACAATATATAAATGAAAGCTAAGCCAAAATTGTCAGGAAATGTTTGTAAACAAACTAAAAAAAAAGATGGCTACATCAACTTTCCATTCCAAGCTCCTACTATCCAGAATAAATAAAATTGTCAGTGCAAAATGTCAAAAATGCAGAGAGTCGCACGCGCAGGTCCCATGCAACATAGTGGTGCCAACCTTATCATTTGTTTGTTTACAAACATTAATGACATGTGTTGTGAATAAGACTCATCCCTTATCACATGGGATTTATAAGGTGAGTGGTCCTACTTGATGGGCCGGGTTTAGTGTGGAAATAAAAGAAATGAAATAGATTGAAGTTAGATTTACTCTTTCCTTTTCAGAGTATTAATTTAAACGCCATTTGTCAAAAGCTAAAATTGTTTTGACGTTTGGCTTTGTGCTTAGCTTGATTTAGGCGTGCCAACTTGCAAACCCGAATCGATCTATCGATACGATTTTTAAATATATTATTGTATATTGTAATATTTCAATAAATTTGATTCTTTTAAAATTACATTTACACGCATAAAATGAGATTAATAATGCACTTTTATTTAAACTAATATTAATTGTTTCATATTAAAAAAAAAGAAGTAATAATAAAATATTTGTTTAAAACTCGATTTTCGACTCGAGTACGCACATCACTAGCGTCGATAGTATTTGGAATCTATGGTCCCATCTCTAGATTCGCATTCTGCACTCGCTCATTTCGCTCTGCAGTCCCCAAACAACAAACAAAGTAAACAACAAAAGTTCGAAACTTGTGAAAGACAGGAGCATAATATGGCAAACAACGTATATATATGGTTGATGAACAGTTATTTAGCTAAGTAAGTGTTTTTATTTAACTAATTGTACATTTACACTTATGGACGCACAATATTTAAAGGGTTTCTAATACTAATCATATGTTTCGTTTATTGGTAAATATTTTGCGCGTCATTTAACTTTTTCTTTCGTAAATATAAACACGTGCGAAAACTATCAAAACAAACAAATTACCGTCGTAAATCGATATTCGTTATTTAGTGAAACTGAAGTTGCAATTGGTTTTTGTTTTAGGAAAATTAAAGAAGAGATTCACAGGGCGCGTCGAAGGCGTCGCCTTGCAGAAATAATTGCGACTCGAAGAAAGGCAGAGAAATTGGACCTACCAGCTGTAATACCGCTACCATGGGATTATCGTCCTAGGCAACCTAGCGTGCCAATAGCCATTCCAGTCACCCCGCCAAGAAACCACTGGGTTCGTCGAAACGCCCACAACCGAGACGTGAGGTAATATTGGTGATCTCAAACCGTCTACCGTGGAAGCGGAACGCTTGGGAATTATAGAAGATCCCTTATGAGGGAAATTGGGCCAGCATAGGAATGATTATGCTGGTTATCAAGTATATGAATTGGTGCTGGTTTAATCTAGTCATATTTATGTAAATATATGTACATAGTATGGACTTTTTAACAATTTGGTTTTATTTCTTAACTTTTTATTGGAGCCTAAAGTAATTTATTAAGTGAAAAGAAACATTCGTTTTGTTTTCTTGGGTTGAGTTGAATATTATTTCGATTGGGTCAAAAATGCATCATTGAATGCTATAGAAACGAAAAAGAAAAATGTTTGTTTTTCACTCAAAATGAAGTGGAGAAATTTGATAAGGTTTATTCCAAGGAGTAAGTATTACAAAAGCAGTTATACATTTCCTTCGAAGGTTCAGTGACTATTTCCAACTATTCCCAAACAGGTGAATAAAAACAATCTAAAGTCTGGTAGTGAAAGCAAGTAATTAAAAAATATGAAGATTATCTTTAGCAACTTGCTACGAATCAGTCTCACTTTCAGAAGTGAGTGGAAATCGATTAATGATCTTCATGATCTAGATCTAGTAACTTTCTTTAGGTTAACTTTACTGGTATGCAGGGAAGGATTAAAAAAGCTTTAGGAAGGAATAACTTTTCTCTGTTGAAAAGTCACTATATGAAAAACAGAAGACAGATTTTAATATTGGTTACATTTTAATTTTAGAGCACCAATTTTGGACAGACAAGATGTATCTGATCATTAAAACAAGGAAGATAAGAAGATATCTGATCATTAATCAAATATATAGGGTCAAGGTCAGGGTTGATAAAGTTTATATAGATAGATAAATAATTATTTATTTTGTCTTTTTCCTTTTTTGTGTAAACTGTTTTTTTCCTTTATTTGTGTATAAACCATATGAGCATATAACAGTAACTTATACTTGTATAGCACTTACCCTAGCAAAATCATAAGAATATCGGTAGATGGCCTTAAATATATATGGATCATTGAGTAAGCTGCGGAGGTATTCTAGTTTGTTTTGCAATTTGTGCGCACTGTCACACTGTAGCTCTGTTAGACCTGAAACAGTTTACAAATTTGTTTCAGTATACAAACAACAATCTTGCTAAAAAGGTTTGATACAATTATACAATTGTAGTCTGGAATAATACATAGGCTATTTTTTACCTTGGGTAAGTCAAAGTTTATTTATTTCAACTAAACCATAAACAGGTACTTTTGAAAAGTCAAAATAGAAGAGTAGTCCTGTTCGTCAGTGAAGCTAGGTGCTTGTTCCAAATTGTAGATTCGAATGGAGAAGAACGAGCAAGAAACTTTATAACTAAGTAAGGTCAGTTTAATAATGATTTTTATGAAATTTAAGTCAAGAGTTTGTAATGTGAGGGTCACAAGTGCAAACAAGTTATGTTTTTTTAAAACTTTAGTTACCTTTTAGCCATTCTTCTTGTGTAAAGAAACCCATTTGTTTTGCTCCCATTTTGTATGCGATAACCAACATTACAACATTCTCAGGGTCTACTCCAATGTCTTGACAGAACTTTTCCATCCCTTCTGGACCTATACCATAAAAATGAAAAATTTGTACTGGTTTAATTAGGTAAACTTTATTTGTAATTTTATTGGATTTCTGTGTTATTTATTTATTTTTTTATTATTCATGCACATCACACATACAGTAAATAGGAAAACAACTACAGAAACGGAGCTACATAGGTATTGTGTATTCCTATTTGGAATTTCTTCTTGCAGTCCTTCAAAAGGAAAAAAATGTATTAGTTTAGTAATACTAAACTAATACATTTTTTGCACAGCATTTAGAGTATGTGGCATATAAAGTCCATCCCTTTTAAATAGGTCAAACAGCATATATACCACACTCAAAAACATTATACTGGGTTCTCTAACTATTGTAAAAGATCGTGCTCAATAATTATTAAATGACCGAGTCTAATCTAACTAAGCTAAGCTTTCTATGACCGTGTAGTATGAGTACTAGATTTAGGTTTTTGTATATTCACTTTCATGATATCAAAGGTTTTTTGAGAACTTGTACATTTCTCACAGTGAGATAGTATTAATAACTCTGTGAATGTGGGGATTGATGTAAAGCAAACCAGACTAAACTCACCTAATACATCTGGTTCTGAGGCAGTTGTGTATTCTTTAAACCATGCTAAACATTTCTTTACACTAAAACTTGTGTCTTCTGATTTGGAATGTCGACGTGAACTGAAATTGAAAAGGTTTTATATTATTTTAACAAGTTTAAATGTGATTTGTTCTGCATGAAAAGGTCCTGAACCACAACTAGATTCAGAGACAGTTAAAAATATGTTTCATACTTATTATGAGTAAATGGATATTTTATAGGAAGGAATGTCGTACCTGCTATTTCTAGATCTCTTGTGATGGTGATGGTCGTCAATAGCGGTCGCTCCCGGTAAGACTTCGCCCCCATTAGCGGGGGCACCGCTTCGTGTACGTTTACTGCAACGAGGCATCGCTCTACCACCCTGTCAGATTTAGATTAGTTAAAGCAACATGTCTTATGTTTCCAAAAGGCAGAAGTGAGCTCTTCAATCATCTTGACTCTAATGGGTTCCATGTAATAGGCAGTGAGATTCACGTCACAATCAGGAATAATAAATTACTGTTATTCCAGATAATTTTGGGTATACAAATCATGTGCTTTTGCTTCATCCGAGCCAAATAATATATTAATTAATCTGACCTGCTAATGTTTAATTAGCAGGTAGCTAATTAAACAGGCAACATAAGTATACAATCTAAAACATTTGTGTTATACTATGTAGTTTTGCAGACATACAGTGAAAGGCATTCAGAGAACAATCGCTAAAGGTAACCTTGTGCTGACAACTTGTTTGAAAACAACAAACAGCTGGACAGACCTCAATATATAATTATATGCAACTCTACTTCTTGACACATAAATTAGATAATTGATACTAATTTAGGGTTTGATGGGAGATTAGGAAGTTTTATCTGATACTTTTTATTTATAAATGCATTTTGACATTTAAAAGTGCCTTGTATTTATGCAATTGAAATAAATGGTTTCACTTTGACTTTTGACTTTGATTAAAGGCTGTACAGAGGCGCCAGAAACTGCTGAGAACTAATAGATATACATAAAAGAGGTTCGCGCATATTATGCATCACTACAAATAGCAGTGTTGAGTTGTGTACTGCACACACATTATTAATGTATTGAACATTAATTATCATTAAACATTTTTATTGTTACTATTTTCTTTTATTTAAATGTTGTGGTAAAGGCCTAAAACCTGGCTAACCAATGTTCTTTGCATGTTCTTCAATGCTTCCAAGTTTAACAGTTTTTTTTGTACTTAGACACTTCTGGCGGTCTGTAATCTTTATGGTCTCATCAGCTGATATCTCATATATTACATTGTCTTGCTTAAATATCTATGGAATACCATAAATTAAACTTCCTTCTACTCATATACAATATACATATAATTATATAAATAGATCTAAATAGCTGTATAAAGTTATGCTAAAATGAGGCACTTAACAATTTGGAAAAGAATTAGAAATAGTAAAATGGAAACAGTAACACTTATTTTAAAGCAATCAATATAATGAATGGTAATGAGTTTTACACTATGTATATTTATATTTAATTAACATAGCTAGAACAACTGTTTAGCATCATAAACATGTTCAAATGGTAGTTAATCTACATATTTATTAATAAATCTTAGAAGATGGAAAGACAATATGCACCATAGTATTATATTTTTAAATATATTGTATATTTTATTGGTCTAACACTCCTGAGATTTATGACATGAGACTACTGAACCCTGTTTTTTATCTACTTATGTATATCAATATAAATATTCCTTGATAACCATTAAATAACAGAACCATAGAGATAATATTTACTGATGTTAATCAAATTTGGCACATTAACCGAGAAAATTGGGAAATAGCACCCAGGCAAAGCAGGGGTGGGCTGCTAGTTCCTTATAATTAAAAACTATTACATTGTTTAATCATTGAAGGAGAGCAACATGACAACTGTAAGAACTGATTTAATTTAAATAGGTATTTCACATCAACAAACTCCATAATCTTAATTATTAATATCACCGAATAATGAATATCAATAAAATTGCTGAGTAAGATATGTTAGCACACACATCAGCTACTGGTCTTTCTGCTTGATAAACATTACAATGACAAAACACAAGATAAAAGGTGATTTAGCATTTATTTCATGTGGTTTGTTCCAAATTATTGGTATGCCTAGTAATCTAATGTGAATGACCTTGGTAGGTAGAAGTGTACTGAATGCATCTATTGGCAGTTTGTTTTTATAAATTTATTCATTTAACATTTCTCTAGATACCATACTCAACTGTTATTCTTTAATTCATCAAAGCGTCATTCAGACTCCTGGAATCTACTATTGTGTCTCAAATTACCATGAAAGGTTAAGAAGACTTCCAGTATAGTATTATATAAGACAAAAATACTTAACTACAAATATCATGATGTCATTTAATAATTCTACAGAAATGAAATGTCTCAACCACATGCTTCATATGTGAACTCCTTTAATAATGTACTTGATCATTTTTTATTCCTAATTTGATTGCATTTAGAATTTGACATGTGAACAGCGGGGCTTATGTTATCTGTGCCATGGTATTATAGTAAATTTAAGAAAACAACTTCATATCTATGGCAATACACCATTGATTGATTTGATTAATAATATTACCAGAGAGCCAGAACATAATATTTTGATATTAATATAATAAGTTTACTTCAAATTTTGAAGAAATTGTGTGATGTCATTTTGGATATGAATTCTGTCCTTGATATTAAAATAAAATAGACTAAGAAAAATACTGTTATCTATCACACTGAAGGTCACATTGACACAAATTAGGCAGTAACCAATAAGATTCTAGATAGTCAATAGATAATAATAGAATATGATGGAACTAAGTAAAACAAAAGCACAATTAGACAGTTTACTAACAAGATTTGGATAGCCTGTAGGATAATGATAAGATTCTAATTTCAATTTCATCTGAAGAACAAGCTTTTTTGGAATGAATAATTTTATGTAAATGTGACTAATGGCTTAAATATTAGGTAATTATAGGATTCAGACAAACTGTTTTGGTATTATATTACACTGGTATGAATAAGTTAATGTTTCATTTGATTAACATGTTTCAGTAAACATAGCCAACTACTAACACAGCAGTATGTTGACAATACAAAGTTTATTTCCACTTATCTCTGCAAGACAATGTACAATACTCAATCCAATGGAGTAATCTCTTGGAATCATCACTCAAGTATGTCAAAGCTTCATAAAATTCTAACCTTGCGCATATTAGATATCTAAACAGCTGGGTGTGACAGAAACATATGATATTAGGTACATTGTAGGCATTTAGAGGTTATATGCAAAATTCCCATCAATACATTTAAATAACACACGAATTTGTTATAAAAATAAGATGAAAAGACTTAGAAAAATACAATTATATCTGTCGAATGCTTGTGAAACATTTCTTATAGGTGGTTTTAGCAAAATGTTTACCTACATATCTCAAAGATCAACTTAATGTCGTTATACCGATAGATCATAATTTTAAAGCTAAAATGAGTAAACATAATTGGAACTTACAATTGGTGGCAGATTCGATATAAAATTTGAAAACTTAAAGGGGTTTTCGTCTCCTATTTTGCGAATTTTGCAAGTACAGCTTCACGAAAAAAATGTCTTCTTGACAGGTCGATAATAACCTGAAATAAAAAAATCAATGTGGGGCAAAAGAGAGAATACAACGAATGCAGTTTATTGTTAACATAGAACGACCAGTGTTTCAGTTATTTACTGTAAATTAATAAAAATCTTAATACAAAACGAAAGGTGAAACGTTATACAGAGGAAGACATCTCCCTTAGACAATTAATAAAATCTTACCTTGGCCCTTTGTAAGAATAACAAATATATCCAGAATCCGTTTTAGTCGAAATAGTAACTGTTACACATGTTTTTTTACTAAAATATAATAAATTGTTAAACCAAACAGCAGACACAGCGGCTGAGAAAACTCATAACGAAGTAAACGTTTAGTTATTGCACAAACTTTGCACGTTCAGTGGTATATTCTTATAAGGAAAATGATTGTGTGTCATAAAAAAACATTTAATTCATAATATAAGTTCAAGATATATGTAATGATATACCACTAATAATATTATTTGACTTTATCATTTTATTTCTAAGTTTGAAATGAACGGACAGCCTTCCAAATTTCTAGATTGGTATTCCTTTTTTCAGCATTAACTAAACGTGCATGCATCATCTTTGAGAGGTGGGTAAACTTTTTTGCCAATATTTCATAAAATACTTTTGCATTTTTAAAATTTAAAGTTTAATTTGTTTGTACGTAATTTATGTATTTTAAGTTCTAAACTATACAGTATAGTCTACACTGCAATAATATATCTTACTGGGATTACAAAAAGTTGTAGATATTGAGTTCACAGTTCTTCCTGTTAGATTTTTTGTATGGGTAGTTTTTTTGTCGGACATGCAGGTAGAGCCGTAGAGGTAGTTTGAATATAAACTTTTTGAATTTGTGAATAGTTACAAGACTTACGCATGATCTATTTGTTGGAGTTATGGACTTGCAGATTTTTGGTATAAAAACTTAAAATCCTACGTCCTTTCTCGAGTTCCAAACTATATCTGTACCAAATTTCACAGAAATCGGTTCAGTAGTATGTTAATTTAAAATTTTAATGGATTTCACGTTTTATATTTTTCTCAAACTCAATTCTAGCAGTGGTTATTCAGATAATTTACTTATATATTAACTCTACATCTACACTCGCTACGGTTTATATAATACATTCTTTTCGTATTGTGTTTCATCAAAGAATGCATCTTTGATACAATTTTACATGCGATTTGCGCTGCGTTGTATCCGTTTACCGATAGATGGCGTTCATGCACATATTGAAGTATCGGCATATGGCAGGATTAGGGAAATTCAATTCAATAGGTGCGTTATTTGCTATTAGTAGTGGTGTTTTAGTTTTTGCTATAGAGAAAGATAGTTTAATATTATTAATAAAATATGAACTATTATTTACGCTTGGCATATAAAGTTCCAAGGTTTTGAATTGATTGATACTGGGAGGATGAATTTATCTTGATAAACTACTAAAAGAGGTACCTAATTTTTAGTGGGTGCAATCTTCTTCATGCAATCTTTCGTAAAATTTGTTTATCATCATCATTCTTCTCCCACGGAGAAGGTTTGAGCATTTATCACCACGCTTGCACAAGGCGCATTGGCAATTTCAAACGTATAATTAGAAATTATAAGTCCAAGTTTCCTCACGTGTTTTCCTTCACCGTATGTCAAAGGTGTCTAAATTATCATAGAAAGTACATAAGTATAACTCGGAAGAAGTAACATTAGTACTTGCCAGGTTTCGAACCCGCACCCCATTGCATGAGAAACGGGCGCTTTAACCTCCAGGCCACCACGACGACGTAAAAATTTGTTGCAGCTCCCATTTTTTGACCGACTGAGACCACTATTGCAGGGCTATGTGTTATCTATCTATCTGTATTACATACTCAGAGTTTGTAGTCTGAAAAACCTAATTAATAGCCGCGCCTGTTAGTATATCAGCCAGGCAGAATCGATTAAAATGAAACTAAAAACACGAAAAGCATAGAGTACTTTGATAGAGGCGGACAAAACCATTAAATTGCCGATCCAAGCAAATGAATGCAACAGAACATTCGTAAAGAAATTCACAGTTCAGTAGATAACATCAAATATTTGCGCGGCTAGGTAGTTTCTATAGGTAGCGTCCCTACACTTGTTGTATTTAGAATGGGAAACAAAGCACCTAATCTAGTAAGAGGGCGCAATTTACGAGGGTGTTGCACCCCTCGCTATCTGTGGTGCACAACCCCTGACGTGGCGCGACGCGCCGTCTAGATTTAGTCGAGTACTCATTATCGATTTTAATTCATTTGAATACTGCTCTTTCGCCCCTCTAACGTCACCTCTCTAGTAAATATTTGGCGGGAATTATTTTTTAAAGTGTGTTATAATTTAATGGCGCCACATGATCCCTTTTGTTTTATTTTTTTAGCTTGTTGTTGATATGAGTAGATTGTTTTATGGGAGTCTTATTGAGAATGGGCTTTTAGCTTAATTAGAAGGCGTAGTTTAATTACATTTGGGAGTTTTTTAATTGTTGATGTTGTTACTTGGGTAGGAACTTCAATTTCTTATGTTATTTATAGCGTGATAAGTTTGTATGTAGTAAAAATACGTGATAAATATTGAACAAGCAATTACACGAGTTTAATATAAACAAAGATATCAAGAAAAATAACATGAAATTAAATACGTCTGACCTTTACGTCATTGTAGCGAACAAACATTATAAAGATAGCTATAGAAATAAATAGAAACAAAAACTTAGCGAAGGTTTAAATCGGGCATTTGATCCATTTAAAGTTAATGAGCACAAGAGACGTGGATATTTCAGAAAATTTAAAGTAAAACTTATCATTTTGATTACATCTTCCAACGCAATAACGCGTTGAGTAGAACATTAGTCGCGACAGGCTGTCAGCAATGTTTGTCTGCGGAGCGCGCGGAGCCGAGCCCTGACCTTAATGTTCACATGACTACCAAATTTTGTTAACGTGGGTGCTAGGAAACATGTGCCTACATTCTAAATGTACTTAATTAACAAAGTTCACTAAGTTCATTTATCATTCAACGTTTATTTACATTTCCTTACAAGATAACGACTTTGAATGGATATTCCAATAATTATATTTAACAGTGCGAATATTTCAAGGGAAGTGTCCTATTTTGCGAAATATATACATTCATTACGGGTAGGTAAATTCAACAGCTTCTGTATTACAGAAAATGTTCAAATGCTCTCAATAGCAAAGGTTAGCGATACAAATATTTCTGAAGTAATATAAACTTAGCTTACGCCCTATTTAGGGCTACATGCCTATTTCCAGAGGCTGAACTTATTAAACGTACCTACCCATGTTCTAAAGTTTGTTATTTTACGCCTCACAAGTCTCAAAGTCATTATCGTTGTCTCCGACATTCCCGCTGTTGGCCAAGAAGAAAACATTCAAAATACCAACCCGTAATAATTAGAGAAACATTCATTGCGAAACGTCGGGGGAACGTTTCTGTGATCGTCGGACGGAAAACCGTCATGCGTTGCGTAGCCGGCGCGTCCATTCAAGTCGGGTCGGCGGTACGCCCCCGCTTCACCCTATTTTCACCCCAATACCCGCGTCCCTCGTGGAAACAATCTTCAGTTCGCGTTTCACCCGCACTGGGGCTGCCTGTCGCTCGCCGCCTCTACTGCGAAAACGCCGCGATCTTTCTCAAACTAGTGCAATATTCAAAACAATTCGAATTTCGACTTGTGTTCCATTTTAGTTTTCGTTTATGATTGTTGCAAATAGTTTTTAGTGTTTTAGTTTCGGCCAGTGTTTTATTGTTTATAATTATATTTTCGGCGTGTGTTGGTGTATGTTTTGTGGACATCCGCATTTAGCAAACTTACGTAAGTATTTACTGCATTGCGTTTAGATCTGAGTTTGATTAACCTTGATATTGTGAGTGACGTGACAACGACACCTGAACTTGTACATAATAATTCCGAACCAATTTATTTTAATTGTAAAGATGGCAGAATCGCTTCTCATTCGCCGGTTTCATTCGTAACCTTTGAAGCGTCCGTGAACCGAAATAATCGTTGCTTTTAGTGTATTTCAACTGAAAAAACTTAAGTGAGAGCTCTAACAGGCAATTTCTCTGAAGGCCGGCTGAAGTCGATTCAATTAAGGATGAATTGGGTCGCAGGAGCAGGGTAGTTGTAAGTAAAAGGCAATTCCTGCGGCTTATTTATTTATTATCGTCGTTTGTCCGTGTGGGACAAGTGAATGCTCGTTTAGCAATCTTTAAATCATTATGGGCCAACCATCTTCGACATCAAAGAAATACCTATGGTAATTGGTGGTTGTTGTTTGGTGAAGATTCCATTTTAACATCGGTATGTAACTTTATTTTTGCCTACAGTACTAATAAGGGTAGATTTATCAAACATTTGAGATTGTAAACTTGTCATTATAAAATTTAATTCTTTTGTAACTGTGGGCACGAGACTCAGCCGAAAAATTCTTAAATTGGATTTCATTAAAAGCTAAAAGTTTCTAAGGGATAAAATGAAGGTAGCTAGCTAGTTTTGATAACCTCTATATACATATAATGTTAGCTTGTGTATAAAATTTTGGCCCATTTTGCTCGTGCAAATCTGCAGATTATTGAAAACTGGCTCCTAGTAAATCCTGGTTTTAGTCGACCTTGCATTTATTCCTCGCTGGGAGACATCCACAATGGTCTTTCATCAGGCGTGACGTTGTAAATGCGTTCCACGACGTTTGGCAGCCATAATGTGACTGCTAATGTTCATACTTTACCTTTAAGAATGAACCAAGTCTCTAATATTGAGAGACACAATTTCTGTTGGTAAAAGGATGTTCTAAAAACAAAAGAGAGTTGTGTAGAGATAATAGAATTTTGATTTCTTTTTAATATTTTCTTTATATGTTTTCGGCCTTTATAAGTGTAGTCTTTATGTGTTTATAATTATAAACTGAACATTTGCACAACTCATAGAAACTATACAAATTAAACAAGATCAGATTTAATAAAGAAACTGTATGTGTAAACTGAAGAAGTTTCTTGCTCGTTTTCCTCCATTAGAATCTACATAAACTCGTGTACTTGGACTGACCAACAGACTAACACTTTTTGTATTAAGCTTCGTTTGGCGTTCAAAAGGGCCTGTAGGGGTCTAATTGAAATATAAATAATTTTGACTTTGACTTTGATAAGAAATATTTAAACACGTTTAAGCATAGAACTGCTTCATTAGTTATAATTTTAATTTTATGTTATTGGTGTAATACCAATTACATCTACAGCAGAACAACATTTGAGTAGGTTTGTTCAAGCTTTGTATTAATCACCAAGCTTGCTCAAGGCGGATTGGCGATTTCAAACGTATAAGTAATTAGAAATTA